ATACGCTTAAATTGGAAAAAAATAAAGATCTCAAATGAATGATCTAACCTTTCACCTTTATAGTCCAGATGAAAGAGAGCAAATTAAATCTGAAACAAAAAGAAGAAAGAAAATAATGAAGAGCAGAAATCAATAACATTAAAACAGGAAAACAACAGAGAAAAGTAAATAAAACCAAAATAAATGAATTTCTTGAATTTATCAATAAAATCTATAAGCTTCTACCTATACTGCGACCCCCCCCAAAAAAAAAAACAAAGAAGACACATTACAAAACTCAGGAATGAAAGCTAATATAATCACAGACACTACAAATATTTAAAAGATAATAAGGGAATATTACAAACAATTTTATACCAGTTCATTCATAGGTACAAACTAGCAAACTAGAAGAAATATATAACATGGACAATTCTATATCTATTGAAGAAATTAAATCTGTAGTTTAAAAATCATTGCATAAAGAAAATTTTAGGCTGGCGGACTTCACTGGCAAATTCTACCAAATCATTGATGAAGAAATAATACTAATTCCATACAATCTTTCTGAGAATACAACAGGAGACATCTCCAAATTAGGCCAGCATGACTTCATTACCAAAGCCAGATAGACATCAGAAAAGCAGTATCTCCTATAAATATACATGCAAAAATACACCACAAAATATTAGCAAATGGAATGCAATATGTAAAAAATAATAATAATAATAATACACTTCAACCTAGTGGGGTTTATCCTGAAAATGAAGGGTCTGGCTCAACATTTAAAAATTAGGTGAGGGAATTTCCTGGTGGTCCAGTGGTTAGAACTTGACCTTTTCATTGCCATGGCCAGGTTTAAGCCCCGATCAGAGAACTAAGATCCTGCAAGCCATGCGACAGAGCCAAAATGAAAAAAATTAGTTGACATAATCTACCATATTAACAGACTAAAGAAGAAAAACCAGATGATTTCTCAATAAAGGTGGGAAAGCATTGGACAAAATTCAGTATCTATTCAGGATAAAAATTCTTATTAAACTAGGAAAATAAGGGAACTCATCAAACCTGAAAAATGGCATTAATATGTACAAAAGAAAAACTAAAGCTAACACAATAGCGAAAGACTGAATGTCTTCCCCCTAAAATCAAGAAACTCTAACCCTTCCTCAGTTCAGTTCAGTCACTCAGTCATGTCCAACCACTATGACCCCATGGACTGCAGCACGCCAGGCCTCCCTGTCCATTGCCAACTCCTGGAGTTTACTCAAACTCATGTCCATTGAGTCGGTGATGCCATCCAACCATCTCATCCTCTGTCGTTCCCTTCTCCTCCTGGCTTCAATCTTTCCCAGCATCAGCGTCTTTTCCAATGAGTCAGTTCTTCACATCAGGTGGCCAAAGTACTGGAGTTTCAGCTTCAGCATCAGTCCTCCCAATGAATACTCAGGGTTAATGAATATTCATGAACCCTTCCTATTCAACATGTGATGAAAGTTAGAGCAAAAACGATAAAGAAAGACACACAGACTGAAAAGGAAGAGGTTGTCTCTATTTGTAGACAACACTGTCTAAAATACCAAGGAAAAGAGCTTCAAAGACTAATAAATGAGAATGTTATTCACAGCTACAGCTTTTACTCCAAATTTTCTATCTCCAGATCTTTATATTCAACTGCCAACTGAATATCTTCACTTTAGGAGTCCCATGGATTCCTAAGGTTGAGTACTTCAAAGTTGAAGGTATTGTTATCCCTCCAAACTTTTAGGAAAAAAAATGCATATCCTATTCTTTTTAGTAATATGATCTACGACTCATTCTAATATTTATGCTGCTGTTGCTAAGTCATGTCAGTCGTGTCCAACTCTGTGTGACCCCATAGACGGCAGCCCACCAGGCTCCCGTACCTGGGATTCTCCAGGCAAGAATATTGGAGTGGGCTGCCATTTCCTTCTCCAGTGCATGAAAGTGAAAAGTGAAAGTGAAGTCGCTCAGTCATGTCCGACTCTTCGCAACCCCATGGACTGTAGCCTACCAGGCTCCTCCGTCCATGGGATTTTCCAGGCAAGAGTACTGGAGTGGGGTGCCATTGCCTTCTCTGCTAATATTTATACTTGTTCTCCTATTTATAGCATTCCAATTGATTTATCCATCCACCCAAGCTACGAAAAGGGGATGCATCTTACACTTCTTTCCCACTTCACATCTACTTGGTCACTTAGGGTATCAGTTAACTTTTATTATGAAACAAACTGCTCTGAATCTGGAGGCTTAAAACAAAATATTTATTATTTCCTGTGATTCTGTGGGTTGACTGGCTGATTTTTCTGGTCTGAATCATCTTAGTTGGGGTTAGAAGGTCTAGGATGCTCTCATACGTGTGTCTGGGGCCACAACTGAGGAGGCCAAGATGGTTGAGACACCTGTGGACTCTCTTCAAGTGGTCCTTCATCTTCTAGGAGGCTAGCCCTAATTTGATTACATGGTGGTAAAAAGGGAACCCTCTTACACTGTTGGTGGGAATGCAAATTAATACAGCTGCTATGGAAAACAGTGTGGAGATTTCTTAAAAAGCTGGAAATAGAACTGCCATATGACCCAGCAATCCCACTTCTGGGCATACACACCGAGGAAACCAGATCTGAAAGAGACACGTGCACCCCAATGTTCATCGCAGCACTGTTTATAATAGCCAGGACATGGAAGCAACCTAGATGTCCATCAGCAGACGAATGGATGAGGAAGCTGTGGTACATATACATCATGGAATATTACTCAGCCATTAAAAAGAATTCATTTGAAATCAGTTCTAATGAGATGGATGAAACTGGAGCCCATTATACAGAGCGAAGTAAGCCAGAAAGATAAAGACCATTACAGTATACTAACACATATATATGGAATTTAGAAAGATGGTAACGATAACCCTATATGCAAAACGGAAAAAGAGACTCCTATGTATAGAACAGACTTGTGGACTCTGTGGGAGAAGGCGAGGGTGGGATGTTGCGAGAGAACAGCATCGAAACATGTATATTATCTAGGGTGAAACAGATCACCAGCCCAGGTTGGGTGCATGAGACAAGTGCTCGGGCCTGGTACACTGGGAAGACCCAGAGGGATCAGGTGGAGAGGGAGGTGGGAGGGGGGACCGGGATGGGGAATATATGTAAATCCACGGCTAATTCATTTCAATGTATGACAAAAACCACTGCAATGTTGTAAAGTAATTAGCCTCCAACTAATAAAAATAAATGGAAAAAAAAAAAGATTACATGGTGGTAGAAGAGCTGCCAGCAATAAGAGGGCAAGTCCCAACATGCAAATGTTTTTCAAGCCTCTGCTAAATTACAATTGCTTTCATCCCAGTATCTCAGTAGCCAGAATAAGTCACATGAGTTAGCCTGCAAAAAGCCTACCCAAGGATATGGGTGCTGGTAGGTATGGAAAACTAGCTCGAGAAGAGAAGTGTAACTATCTACCACCCTTAATCCGATTGATTCTATCTCCTTCTCTCTCCATACTCATTCTTCCTCTAGAATCCCACTTCACTGAGAAGTTCAAGACCTTCTCATGTCCTACTCTACTACTTGTAACAGCCTCCCAATTGAGCTTGCATTGTTGTAAGTTATTAGTGTGGGAATTTTCTGGAAAAATACAAATCTGGCCACATAACTCTGCTGCTTGAAACTTAATAGCTTCTCTTTGGCCATGTGAATAAACTATAAAATAAATTCCTAAATGAGACCCACAGAATCTTTCATTTTCTAGCCCCCATTTACTCTTACTCTTCCCTCATATGTACCCTACTCTTTCAGAAACAAAAAACTAAGTCCCTCAATTCTTGTGAAATTACAATACCGTGACTTTACACATATTGCTTTCATCTGAAATGTCCTACTACTACTTATATCCTGGTAAACTTCAACTTAATCTTCAATCTGCAAGTTTTTTGTCTTTGGACACAACGCGGCATATGGGATCTTAGTTCCCTGACCAGGGGATGAACCCATGGCCCCTGCAATGGAAGCACAGAGTGTTAACCACTGGACTGCCAGGAAAGTTCAATGTTCATCTTAAATATCACAGATTTAATAAGGCATTTCTTGCCTGGCAAAGTTATATGTTCCCACTTCTTGCATCCACTGTACCTCACACAACCTTCAATTATAGTGTTTATTCCAATACATTATAATTACTTGCTTGAAGACCTGTCTAACCACATATTTCACTTTGGGATGGGGATTATGTCTCTTTTAATGTCTAGGTCTCCAACAATCTACTATAATTCTTGACAGTTAGTACGCAACAAATGTTTTGGAGTGTTTATCAATTAAAACGTCCATTTCCAACATTCTAGATGACAGTGGAAAGAAAATTTATCAGATAAGTCTGTCACTGTCAAATCTTGTCATTAACTCAATACTCTTTTTCAATGTTACTTTTTAGTCAAGTTGAGTGGAATGCAGTTTCAAGTATACCAAAACTTTCAATATGAACTAGCATACCTTCAATAAATTATAAATATGTTAAAATGAAAATTTAAACATTATATTAAGGTATATAAATGTACTAAATTTGCAAATGTACTAAAATTATCAGTGTACTAAAGCATATTGATGCCTCATTGTGTGTAGCTGGATTATGTGAGTCTATTTTTTCTGTTTCCTAAATTCTCATAAATGTTAAAATTTAAAATAAAAATATCCATGGTGTAGTAGGAATGATACAGTATACTACATAAACAAGTTTCCTTAAAAATTCATTATAACCCAGAGCTTGGCTTCAGCCTTTGCTACAGACCTAATTCTTGTGTCTCCCGCAAAACTCCTATGTTGAAACCTTATCCACAATGTGACAGTATAAAGAGGTGGCAGTAGATAATTAAAGCATTAACAAAGGGCTCTTATGAAGGTGATTAGTGCTCTTATAAAAGAGTTTCCAAAGCTCCACCACCTTCCCACCATGTAAGGACACAGCCAGAGACAAAACTATCTATAATCCAGGAAGCAGGAACTCACCAGACACCAAATCTGCTGACACCTTGATCTTGAACTTCCCAGCCTCTTGAACTGTGAGAAATAAATTTGTTGTTTATAAGCCATCCAGTCTATATTCTTACTGCAGCTCAGACTAAGACTTTCTGAAAAAGAAACCTAATTTGTCATGAAGACTTTGTGAAGTTCATGGAGCCTTATATCAAAAAACAAACAGAAAACAAAAACCAAAACAAACAAACAAAATATCTAGCAATACCTTAATTGACAACCAGAAGCAGATTTAATACCTCTTGTGGGGAGTAGGGGGAATGCCTTTTTAACCAAAAGAAATGATCTGGTAATAAAAATAATCTGATTTAAGCATATCTTCAAAGTGGTTAATTCAGGTTAAATAGTGAATTCAGCTGTACTCTTGATACAGGAGAAATAAGGTGCACACAATTTCATGATTAAGGAGCCTCAAAACTCACACACCATCAAACTAACTTGGGCAAAGCTGTTGTGTAAGGTGTGTGTGTTTGTGGGTCAGTCGTGTCAGACTCTCTGCTGCCCCATGGACTGTCCCACCAGGTTCCTCTGTCCATGGGATTTCCCAGGCAAGAATTCTGGAGTGGGTGGCCATTCCCTTTTCCAGGGAATCTTTCCCACCCAGGAATCCAACCTGGGTCTCTTCAACTGCAGGCAGATTCTTTATCCTCTGAGCCATGCTGTGAATGGCTTTAAATGGTTTTAAATCAGAGACCCCATTTAAATCGAGACCAAACAAACAAAAAAAAAAGTATCACTTTTTCCACTAGATTTTCAATTCATGACATGTGCGTGTATGTATGAAATTTACCCTCTAGTGAGGAAAGACTGAACAGCTCACCAGTGGCATGGAATATTTAATTTCAAGACCTATAGAAAGACCACCAAGATTTACTTGACGTCAACTTCTAGAAATTAAAGGTAAAAAACTTAAGGTTCAAAGCAGAAAGGCTATTGGTAGTTGTCGAGAATGGGGCAGATTCATGGAATACAGCTAAATATCATTTAAAATATATTCTGGCTCGGGAACAAGAGGCAAGGTTTTTTTGTTTCTTTCGTTTAAAGTTTTCCTTAATAAATCTTTTACTTTAAAACAGTCGTAGGTTAACAATTACCGCGAAAATAGTACAGCATTCTCTACACCCCACAGGGTTTTTAAACTCTTAACTTCTACTGATACTTACACCACCCCTTCTCTCCCAAACCATCCCCCACTCCTGATCTCCTCAGGTTTCGCCAGGGCCTCGTTCTCACAGAGCAACTTTAGGAATGTAACAAAAACCCAGTTCAGTTACAACTTCACCGACCGGCCACAAGTGGGTCAGCTGAGGTGGCCGACACCAGAATGCTCCCGCCCCGTCCCGCCCTCTCAGAGCCGCGCAGACCCTCGCCGACGTGGCTCTTCCACCTCACGCTTCGCCGGACGCGAGCCAAGCGCGACCAAAGGGCAGAGCAGCCTCCAGGGGCCAGGCGAGCCGAGCGGGACCAGGCCCGCCCCCAACTGCAGGCTCCTCCCTCGAGGGCACGTTCTGGAGGCTCCAAACAGACGCACGTACGCTTATTGTTTAACGCCGACGCCCGCGGTCGGTCCGCCGCCGCACGCCTCTCTTCACAGCCCACACCCACCGGTGGCCTCCGCCCCGCCCCGCCGTCGCAGCCCGGCCCTCGGCGCGTCGCGCGGGGGCGGGGCGCGCGCACGTGAGGACGTCCGGGAGCGCGCGCGCCGCCGCCGAGCTGGGCCAGAGTTGCCTGCGACGGGGTCTGAAGGTGATGGCTCTGACCGAAGGCCTCGAGACGGCGTTTCCCGCTGTTCCTGCCGTCGCTGCTTGGGCCTTGGTCCGCTCATCGTCATGAGAGGTCAGGCCTGGGGGAAGCGGGAGAAGGAGGCGAGGGGCCGCGGCGAAATGGGCTCTGGGGAGAATAACAGAGGCACTCGAAGCTCGAACGTGGGTGGAAAAATCTGTCCTGGAGATTCCGGAAGAGCCGTTTGCATTTTACTTTTCTTCCCTTTCTCTCCCCTTTCTTGCTTCATGCTTGAAGGGAAGTGGGAGGGTTCTCGGTTTTTATTTATGGAAAAAGACGCTGAAACTGACCCATCCGGTGTGTGTATTGGAGGAAATAAATGGCAGTCGTGGCGTTGGAGCATCGGTGAAAGCCTTTGGTGAAGAGCACTAAAAACCAAACCGCCCAACAGTCACTGAAAAAAAAAAAATTCAAATCTAAAAATGAAATAGAATGACACGGAACTTGCCCCGAGGTTAACCCCAGCTTCCTCCTACGGAAACGGCAGGAAGGCTCTGCTTTTCGTCAACTGGATTCTGACGGCCACCCACACTCATTTAGGGATCTTTGGATGCCGATATTTTCTTTCCGGACTTCCCACCCCTCCAGAGTCTCATTTATAATATGCAGACTACGTAATTATCCTTATTCAGAATACTCTTTTAGCAATTACACGGTGACTCCCAAAGTCGTCTTATTTTAAAGATATTTTTGAGGGGGGCAGGGAAGGGTAATATTTCTTGGTGTTAATTATTATCGGAAACTTCTCTTATTAGCTTCGGGAAAGCTGTTTCAGCATAAAAGGAAATTTGTAAGTCACCGAATTGAAATGTTTATTATTAGTATTAGTTACGCATGATGTTGCTTAATTCGGAGTTAAGATTTGACGTTTTCTTCCTAGCCCATGTAGGCATTAAAAAAACAGATTGACTCTTCTAGTTGAGCGGAGTAAATGTACTGAGTGTTCTAGTATGAATGAGTACTATTAACATCTGCTGGGCACCCATACTTTGAGTATTTTGCCACTTCCTTCTGTCAGAGAACTGGAGGCATCTGAAGCACAACTTTTTCTGTAGCAGATGTTCCCTGAAAGGTAGTTTGCTCAGGACAGCAGAGCCTTCGCGTCAGTGGGGAGGAAGGAGGAGTCTAGAGACGAGTGCTAGATAACCTGAAAATAACTCATCTGCTCTGATTACCAGCCTCTCCTTTAGCGAATAAACAGTTTCTAGTGAGCCACATATTGCCTGTACTTAACTGTTCACTTAGAATAGTTTCTGCTCTTTGATTTTTTAGGAGACAGAGCCCTGAAGCAAAGAAACCACAGAACAAGTATTCAAGGGCCATGCAAGCCAACTGTAGTCAACTGCACAGCCCTGCAGGAGCTGCAGGCGGTGAGAATGCCTCAGCCTCCCAATGTGTCCAAACAAGACTGACAGGAGAAGCTTCCTGTCTTTATTCTGAAGATGTTCATATCCAGATAAACTCCCTACCTAAAGAATGTGCTGAAAATCCAGGCTCCAGAAATACAAGGTCAGGTGTCCACAGCTGTACGCATGGATGTGTACATAGTCGCTTACGGAGCCACTCCCACAACGAAGCCAGGCAACCTGATGATAGCGACAGGGAGTATGGAGATCATGGTAGCAGCTCCTTCTCAGAATTCCGGTATCTCTTCAAGTGGTTGCAGAAGAGTCTTCCATATATTTTGATTCTGGGTGTCAAACTTGTTATGCAGCATATAACAGGTAGGGTATGATAAAGCATTGAGTTGTTTCATTGCTATATTCAGCTAATTTTCTTTTTTTTTTTTTAACTAATTTTCTATTGGTAATCTACTTCATGTATTTCAGTTTCTTATTTTCTGTTAGCTTTTAAAATTGTATATGCTTCCTTTAAAATCATGTCATTGTGTTAGCTCTTTTTTTTAAAATTTCAATTAACTGGACCTTATTTTCTAACAGGAATTTCTCTTGGAATTGGGCTGCTTACAACTTTTATATATGCAAACAAAAGCATTGTAAATCAGGTTTTTCTAAGAGTAAGTATAACCAGCAACTAAAAAATCATTAAATGTTTCTCCCTGTAGAATTATATGCTCATTTTTGAGAGGAAATAGGAATTAAGATAGTTTGATAAATTTAAATAGGTATAATGTGACATCCATAATATATTAAATGTTATCTAAATGACCTGGAATAAATGATTTGTCCTAATACTGAATTGTTTCACCGTATTTTCTTTGTATGTTGGGTTCCTGATAAATAAAAACTAGACAGAAGGATTAAAACCTAAACAGATCACAGTATGGTCTGATTTGTCAAGTGCCTTCATGTTTTAAGTTAATTTTACTATACTGAGTAATATGATCATTATTTAAAACTTCAGCCATTGTACTCTAAGATTTAAAATACTTAAAAGTGTACACTGAACAAATGGGTATTGAATTATTTAGGTTTCTCTTATTTAAAGAAAACTAAACCCAAGAAGTTTTTTCCTAATTGTCAGAGTCCTATTCTTGTAAATTATTGGGAAAACAGGATTAGTTTATAAAATTTCACCTTCAAGCAACTTTAAAGGGTTATATCTGTGTAAAGAATCATATATTTTGACCTGAATGTTTGTAGTTACAACCTATCAAACCATACAAATTTAATTTTTAATTAAAAATTTAATTTAGGGTTTAAAACTAGTAAAACTTTTAATTAAACTAATAATTAAAACTTAATTTTAAAACAGATTAAAAACAAATTATTCTTACTGAATTGTATGAGAATTTTTAAAATTATAAACCCTGATAACTTAATGCATTTTCTACACGCCTGTTTTGTTAGGAAGGCAAATATAGGGAGCTGCAGAAGTAAAGTTTTCATTTAGGTGGGTTATTTATGTCAGTTTGTAGAAGATTTGGCTTTGAAACATAGGTAATGTTGTTACATAACGAGGAAACTTGTATTTTAAAAATCTGTTTAAATTTGTGTTGTTTTGTTCATTAAAGCTATATAAAATAGAATGATATTTACAATTTAACAAATACTCTATATTTTTATTAAGATAAATTAATCTATTAAAACATTTTAAGTTAATAAATCAGTCATTAAAGTAAAATAGTTAAATGCTATTTAAAATTCTGGCATAATTCAAAGTAATGAATTATAAAATTATTTATTTTTCAGGAAAGGTGCTCAAAGATTCAGTGTGCTTGGTTACTGGTATTCTTAGCAGGATCTTCTGTTCTTTTATATTACACCTTTCATTCTCAGTCACTTTATTACAGGTAATTAGAGGCCCAAGTGCACAATCACATTTTTTTTTATATAATCATTATATTCCATAGCACTTTACATATATTTTACTTGCACATACTTACTTTTGGAATTCAATTTTTATGTATTTGTCTAGTTCCAGGAGAGTGAGCTTAAAGTGATTTATTCATGTTTTATACCCAATGTCTTGCCTCATAGCAGGTGCTCAATAAATTATTTTTGATACTAAAATTTTTACTTATGTAATCAATAGTTACTAAATATCATTAGATTGTTGTTGGTGACCTTTTTTATTTTTGACAAATAAAAATTGTATATATTTAAAATATACAACATGTTTTGATATATGTATACATTGTGAAATGATTACCACAATCAAGTTAATATATCCATTACCTCCCTTAGTTACCTTCTTGTGTGTATATGTGATGAGAACACTTGATATTTGTTTCTAGAAGAAAACTTGCTAAAGAACAGTAGTTGATAAGTTTCCATGTTAGATGGAAGTGTTCTGAATTTTCAGCTTTAATCAGATAACTAGAAATCTGGGTTTCAGTGGTGTTGGAGAGATGTGGACAAATCTGGTATATAGTTTGTAGGTGTAGCTGATACCACTCGGATTGGGTTGGTGGGTGAGGGGAAGAATCAAGGGTGATGCCTGGGTTTTTTAGTCTAAGCAACTGGCTGGATGGTGGTGCCATTTACTGGGCTAGGAAAGACTGGGGAAGGAAGTGGTTTTGAAGGAAAATCAGTAATTTTGTTTTGAACATGTTAAGTTTGAGAGTCCATGTAGAACTGTTAAAATGATCATAGTTATTTGTCATAAGCTCAGAGCAGAGGTTAGAGCTGTAAATTTTGGTGTTATCGGCACATGGTGGATATTTTAAAAATATGGAACTTGACAAGACGAACCAGGGAAAGAAAGCATAGACCGAGGGCCTGGGACTGGACAGTGTCCACAGTTAGCCAGAGGAGCAGCAGCAAAGAAGACTTAAGAAGCGACCATTAAGAACAAGCAGACCATACGAGGGCGTCCAGAAGAGAGCGGCGTTAGAAGTCTAGGTAGAGGATACTTTGAGGAGGAAAGGGGGGAAGTGATCTTCAGATTTAGCAAGAGGGAGGGAGTTGATGATCTTGACAGAAGCAGTTCACTGGAAAGGAGGGATGAGAATCCTGAATCGAGTTGATTAAGGAGAGAATGACAAATATCTATTATCTGTGAATTTTTTAGATTACAGGTTAGAGGATGTCAATCATGACAAGTTAGGAAGACTCTTCGTTTTCTTTAAGGAAGAAAGATGTGAAATTCAGGCATTTCAAAAGTCTCTTTAAAATAACCAAAATAATCTGTTTACATAAACTCTAGCATCTTGTCAAACTCAGATTTTTTACACATTATTTGGTAGCAAATTTAGAACCCCTGTCAGCACTTTTATATTTTTATGTTGCTTTTAGTAAGTTTTGATGTTTTTATCTTTTTATGTTGCTTTTAGTAAGTTTTGTGTTTTTCTTCTCTTGGTAGCTTAATTTTTTTAAATCCTACTTTGGACTATTCAAGCTTCTGGGAAGTACTTTGGGTTGTTGGAATTACAGACTTCATTCTGAAATTCTTCTTCATGGGCTTAAAATGCCTTATTTTATTGGTGCCTTCTTTCATCATGCCTTTTAAATCCAAGGTAAGAATCTAATTATGTTTTATTGGAAAGATGTTAGCAAACAATATCAGTGCTTCAGTTCAGTTCAGTCGCTCAGTCATGTCTGACTCTGCGACCCCATGAACCACAGCACGCCAGGCCTCCCTGTCCATCACCAACTCCTGGAGTCTACCCAAACCCAAGTCCATTGAGTCGGTGATGCCATCCAACCATCTCATCCATTTAGTCTTAATGATTCTTTTTATAATTTTCCAGTTTGCTCAATAATCTAATTATTATATTTTCTCACACCTATTGAAACAAAATATCTATTCCAATAAAATCAATTATACTTGCTTTGGAATAATCTAAAAATCAGTCCCCACATCATATATAGGAAAATATTTACATTTATACTTCTGTTTTCCTCCAGGGCATTATTAATTGATAATTGATAACTGACTATATGCAGTTATTTGGTGTTTTTTCATATTCAGTTAAAACTTTAAATGTTTGTAGTCAGGAAGATATTTTATTGTATGTAAAACATTTTCACTGTCACTCTCTAGAAATTTTTTGAAAACAAACCAGTGACTGTAACATCGAAGAGCCAAGTTGAGGTTGTCAGTCATAACCGTTATCATTCTGAATGCTAATTCTGTAGTCGTGTTACTGTGCCATATACTCATGATGTTCCCAGTGCAGTGTGGAGTATTTGTGCTGTGTATATAAGTAGCTTTGTTGGCTCTGTTTTTTCTTCCTCTTTAGGGTTATTGGTATATGCTTTTAGAAGAATTATGTCAGTATTACCGAACTTTTGTTCCCATACCAGTTTGGTTTCGTTACCTTACGAGCTGTGGGGAGTTTGGTAATGTAACTAGATGGAGCCTTGGGATATTGCTGGCTTTACTCTACCTCATACTAAAAGTAGGTAACACAATAAATTTTTTCATTTATAATGATTCATGTAATAATGTTGACAGATTTTACCTATAACTGATTTTGTCTCTGTTTTATAGTTTATCTTCATATCACTAGTTTGAAGTAAATGGCAGATTCTATACTTAGAAATGCAGAAAAGGAAATAGATGTCTTTACCTTAATCCAGTGGTTCTCAGATTTTATTGGGGGGGTGGACCTCCATGTAGCATGGAGTATCTGAGGGAGAGAATGAGTAGAAGAGAACATACCCACCCCCATCAGTAGCATCTATCAGGTACCTAATTCTCAGACTAGTGGAGTATCTTGTCCTGTCCCCTCGACTTAGTCACTTTATGAAACTTTAAATATGTTAAGGACATGTGAACCAGGTAAAATTGCCTTGCCTTTGATTTAGTTAAGTATGTATTTGTCTTGACCCAGTTGTAACTCTAGGCATTCAGATGTACTTCATTTTGGTTACGAGTTGGCTGAAATTGATAAGTTGAGTAAAATATCCCATAATTGGACTTTAAATATATTTAGAATGAAATGATTAGTTGTGATATGCAATGAGCATTGTTAATAGCAGTGTTTGATGTTAGCATTGATCTCTAAGTTTAACAGGATGGCTCTCTGAACTAATGAATTAGGACTTATTTTCCCTTTCAGCTTCTGGACTTTTTTGGACACCTGAGAACTTTCAGACGGGTTTTGCGAATATTTGTTACACGACCAGTAAGTATTTTTTATCATAGGAAACTTTTTACCTTTCTTCATTATAAAATTGTTTTAGTCCGGCAGTTTTACAAATGCAGACTTATATTACATGATTGTTTGAAATACGTCTAGTACTTTGGCACTTGGGGTTATGATGATAAAGAGGTTTTATTTCTGTGACCCGTTTCTTGTGCATAGACACCACCTGATGGTTGATGAAGTAATTATGTATTTGAGTGTGCCTCTTGCCCTTTCAAATTGTCTGACATTTTTAACCCGTTTATAAACATTCCCTCAAAAATCATATGAACTTTTGTTCCTCTTTTAATCCACAGTTAGTGGTTTTGTGTGTTTTCATTAACTCCTGTTCAGCTTCTGTTAAAGTGCTTATAATTTATTGTGTATAAGAAAGCTTACTACCAAAAATCATGTCCCTTGGAATTTTCTTACTGGAAAAATTTCCCCAATACTGAATTCTGTATGCACAAATAAGTTCTTGACAGTATCAGTAAACTTAACAAAAAATAGAATTTTAAACAGAGATTCCACTGTCAGTTATAACTTTATTATACATCAATGATTCTACTGATGTAACAAACTGCAGAGAAAGGGTGTCTGTCATAGCTCAAGTGATAATGGCTCATTTGCTATTTATCAGCCTCAGAGGTTCTCAGTATGTAAGTGTGATCACCAGATTTCAGAGTTTGATTCTCAGTTATAGAGTCCATTAGGTATTTCAGCAATTAAGTGGTCAGGACTCAGGAGACTCTGACTTACAAGAATGCCAATCTAATAATGTATGTTTGAAAAAAGAACAGGATTTTACCAGTGAAGTGGACTAAACTAACTGGCCAGGGCACCCTTTCCCTAAGATAGTAACATAGTAACAAGTTTCACTGCATCCTATTCAGACTTCTTTCTCTAAAAAGATAAAATAAAATCCAGACTTTAGCTTTTGAATTTAGCTATTGAGCACATAATTAATTAATTATGTTTGTATTAGGCTTCTGCCATAGCAGTTAATATAATAGAGCTTGAGCTGAAATGCCTTTGGTATTCTTTCTCCGTGAAGCATTAAGAGACTATCACAGTCACCAACACTCTGTTTTATTCTTGAGATTCTCATGTTCCTTAATGTTGCCCTTGAAATGGCAATCATCATCAGGATATTTTCACCTGAAGGGAGTCTGCATTGTGCCAGACGAGAGTGCTGTTTTAAAAGCTTGTCAGCATACACACGTGCGGTGTGCTCTGCTAAATGACATTTACTGAAGGGAAACTGGCATCAAGATCATCCATCAGTATCTTATTTCTAGAATCTTTAACATTACTGATCTCAAAAAATCTTAATTTTCAGTTTATATCCTTTGAGTTTTGATTTTGTTAACCTTCTAAAGTAAGTTTAGATCATAGCCTCAGGTTGCTAAGTCATGTCATGCTTTTGGTCTCATGACTATGACTGAAACTTGGGTGTTCTTTTCTTCAGCTACCTTTTCCACATCATTTCTACAGAAAGATGATCTCATTTATAATATTTTGTCATACCCAGTTAAGGACTAAATTCTACTGAATTTGTAAGGAAGTTATAAGATCTTAACAAGATCAGAAACTTTTTTTAGGACTTTCGAAAAGGAAATTCAAAGATTTGTGTTGTTTTGACAGTAGAGTGCTACCCAAGTGACGTTTTGCAATTAGTTCTTTTGTAAAATTTTATCATTCTTTACTAGTACTAAATGCTGGTTTTTGTGGTAATTAAAATTTTTAGATTTAGTGGCAGGACACTGTTTAGTGGTCCCCATATCTTCTTCATGTTGAACTCACATGGAAAGCTTTCAAAAATTAGATTTCTGGGTTACCTTCTAGAATTTCTGGACCTATTCAGTCAGTCTCCAATGTGGAGCACAGAAATCTAAATCAGTTTCTACATAAGTTACATTCAGCCAACCAGGCTCAGAATTAAGCCAGTGTCATAGGTAGTAAGTGGGCTCAACTTGGCAATACTGGGTCACATAGTACATGAATATAGATTGCATAATGCTTAGTTATATTTCACATTGCTTAGTCTCTTAAACCATTTGAATTTGAAGCACTGTCATTATTTGGGAATCCAATGAATCTAACAATCTTCCAAGATTCTATTATGTATAATGTAATGAGTTCACCTTGATGCAGACATGATTCTGCATACATAGATCAGCTTTGAGTTGTTTATATCCTTTGGGAAAGTTTTCAAATGCCTAGTTCCTTGGAGATTTGAGAAATACAGTATCACCTATTATGTATTTAAGGAACAGAACCTTTTTATCTTTATATAGAGTTATGGAGTCCCTGCCAGCAAGAGACAGTGTTCAGACGTGGATGATATTTGTTCAATATGTCAAGCTGAATTTCAAAAGCCAATTCTTCTCATCTGTCAGGTAACTCTATTTTTAAGCAACCTTAATACAGCAGTTCTCTGGACTTGCAAAAGTCACATTTATGTTAATTTTCAGGAAAAAATATGTATATTGTTTAGCAGAAAGTAGTATTCAGGGCACATACTATGAATTTCTTATTTGTGATTGGGGGTTTGGTAGGTTAGCTAAGTTTTGTCCCTTATGTTCTAATGATTTTTATGTAGAAGGGTGTATGAAGGGATCGCAGACAGGATACCAAAGTGACTGGAAAACAGATAATTTTTAATAATGGAATACTAGTCTTTAAGAATGCCAGCATGTAATTGGCTTGTATAAGGCCATTTCCTGTTATTTTATTCCTATAACTCTCAAAAGACTGTATTAAGCTGTTAGTCATGTTGTCGTTTGGTCGCAAAGCTGTGTCTGCGTCTTTTGCAACCCGGTGGACTGCAGCCAGCCAGGCTCCTCTGCATGTGGGGTCTCCCAGGCAAGACAGGTGTGGGCTGCTGTCTCCTTCCCCAGAGGATCTTCCCAACCAGGGACTGAGCCCTCATCTCCTTCTAGTCATCATCCTTGATCTTAAAGTCATCACCTAAATATAACTTGTATTTTATTAAAGGTGGGTAAATGGATAGGATGAGTCAGAATACCTGTCTCTGCCACTAACACTGCTCTGTGTCTTCTTGAATGTTCTTTGTTGTCTCGCTTGTAAAATGAACTTTTTCTGCAGTGTGACGCATGTAAAGTTAAAATGTTACCAACTATAAAACCTGGTTCTTAATTCCCTTACAGCATATATTTTGTGAAGAGTGCATCACCTTGTGGTTTAACAGAGAGAAGACCTGTCCGCTGTGCAGAACTGTGATCTCAGACCATATAAACAAGTGGAAAGATGGCGCCACTTCATCACATCTTCAGATATACTAGGTTTTCGACTTAATACTAAGGCCACAAATCACTAATTTTATTTGGTTACAGTGACTACTGGTAAAGACATTAGAATGGATTTTCAGGGCTGGAAGTTAGGAAAATGTCCCCAAATGGTTTTAGAGTATTATAGTTAGGTGTGTAGTCCAGTTTTATCAAAATATGAAATGAAAGATCCTATATTATGTAAGTAAGGTTCAGCCTAATGCATATGCAGCATTTATTCTGTCCTTATTTGACCTATGATGACAGTGTTACATTGTAAATGTGTTTTCTTGTTAATGTTACCAAAATGACAACTAGTGGTTTTAGAGGAATTCAGGTATTCTTTCCAGACACTGTTTTCAGAATAAAGAGTATTTTTCATATTTTAAGATACACATTACCTGAAAGTAGAATTTTCTTTAGCGTTGACTTTTATAATTCTCATTCTAAAAATCCTAAATTTTTTCCTAAAACTTGTATTTTTAAATGAAAGCTATAAATGCTATATTTTACCTGCACAATCAGAATTTTCTAAGGAAGACTAGTTTACAGAGGATGAAATATTTTAGTATTGTGTTATTCTCTTCCCCACGTATGATTAGCAGTCATTGAGAATAAATGACAAATTCCTTTTCTTTGTGGACATAATACAATCTTGCCCTCAGCTTTAATGTTCATGATTTTGCTTTTTGTATAGTGCCATGGACTTTCTAGAATTAACTATTAAAATAATTCACATGAATTACATACAGCTGGTTTCAGTGATGATTTGAATAGTGTGACAAATAAGACCAACTCAAACTGTTAGAAAAGAATTCCCCAGGTCTTCCCTGATGGTCCGTGGTTAAGACTCTGCGCTTCCAATCCAGGTGGTGTGGGTTCAAACCCTGGTTGGGGAACTAAGGTCCTGCATGCCACCTGGCCCAAAAAATTTTGTTAAAAAAGAACTTCCCTTATACTAGCTTCTCTAGAAGAGTTTTGAAACCTCATGCTTGAATCATTACTTGGGAAATTAAAGCTTGTACGCAGGCCAATGAAACTTTGGAGAGTGGTTTGTTTGCCTACAGGTATTTGTGCAGGGTGGTGCAAAGGGAAAGAGAGGCGGTTCCTGTCTCCCCTTGAAACCTCATGAGGGAATCAAGATCTGTAACAAGTCTGAAGGACTGGTTATTATCTACATCTTGATGTGAGGCCTCTAACTTATTTTCTCATTTACCATCTATCAGTTTGCATACAAGAAAAAAAGACAGTGGTGAGAAGGAGAATTTAGGGGGTAGAGGCAGAAATTTTTGACAAATTTACAACGCTGGTAAGACAAAGACTACACCAACATGGATTAATAAGGATAGTGACCAACCAGATACAGGTTAAGTCATTTTCATGCCTCATGGCTACCCAAACTGACAAAAGGACATTAGAAAATGTAACTTTTTCCCCTGCTAGGTTATAAGTACAACTATTTCTGTTCATTCAGGATGATATACTTTAACTATGTTAACTACTTTGAGAACCACTGCAAATATTAAAAAAAACAAGCTTACTTGGCTTTAAATCACCTTCCTAATTTTGTGATGAAGCCAGTAGTTGTTATTTGGGTATACAGCAAGGGATGAGTTAAGAAAGACAATTTGAGATTAGAATTTGGGTGTAAAAAATATGCTGACGTCTTGGTAAAAACCTAAGAGTTACTTCAGCCCTAACACAATACCTACTTACCCTATGGCCATATGGACAGCTCTGTTTCTGAATATGACTGAATAACAAAAGACTGTGGCGGAGAGTGGAAAGCACTTCATGTATGAACTGAGAAGGAGGGAAATGTAGCAGGAGCGCTGTGCTGTTCACTGATAGCGCTGATGAACTGGAGGCATTTCTGCACTTTTATTCCTTCAGCTCAAAAACGGGAATTAGAACCCATTGATTCTGTGAGTTCAGACCATACCTCTAAAAGATTTTTATCAACATCAAGAGTCACTACTGTTTTATAAAAAAAGTCCATTTGAGAACTTCTATAGAGAAACTATATTGGCAAATGTGATTGAATTACCTCATAAATAAGAGATGGTTTACACAAAACACCCATCTTACAGCAGATATATTGAGATATGAGTTAAAAACAAATTTGTCCACTAAGTTATCTTGTGCATACACATCAAATAATGAAGTTGGCAAACGTGGCTGAAAAAACTGTTGAATGTTATAGCACAAGAAAGTCTTTCAGTGTTTTTATGTGAAGCTGGCTTTCACATAATTTTTCACATGAACTTTTTTTTAAGCAACCAATCACATTCTACTATTTTGACAGAACTTGGAAATCATAGATGTTTAACACCTAATAAAATCAGTACTAAAACTTGTTACAAATTTGTTCCTTCAGTTTCTCCACAAAAGCAATTTTTACAACTGTTATTCTTTACATATATATAGTTTATTAAATATGAGAACCTGAACACATCTAGCATATGAATGGGAAGAATTATTGAAACCACTTGTATATCTGATAGTTATTTCTTCCTATCTTAGGGTAATAATGATAATAAAAAAATCACTTCTATTTTATGTTCATTCAAATTTTCATTTAATTTCTATTTACATTCATTCAATCTGAAATCAAATACTTTAATACAGTAAACACAAGATGAAAAGCAGAAAAGGTGTTACCCTCAAAGCACTCCTAATAAGGCAGCTGAAGAATTTATTTACTCTGGTAGATGCAAAGCCAACTTGGGGTAGGGAAAAAAAAGTTTTAAAAGAGCAACACAGATGAACCCATCTTTCAAATGTTACTTCAGATAATCCACTGAGATAATACTTGTGCTGTAGTGGTAAATTAAGAATCACACACGAAGAATTTTGTATCAGTCAGCCACAGACCACAGGTCATGGTGGGACAAATACTTTATGATTATTTTGTCCAGCTTGCTAGCGTCTACTCCTATGGAAAAAAGGTAGATGTTTGGACATTGATGTTTATATTTCAGAAATTAACCATTTTCAGAGCCTCAAAATCCATTCTTCATAAATTCAACATTTCTCATGAGAATAATCTTAGATCTAGCCCTTATAAGCTAGGAACCACATGACTGAATAACCAAAATAGTTAGGTCCTATTTTAAATATAAAATCCAAGGCTTGGATGCAGTTTATTTATAATCATGTATTTCTTAAAGAATGTTGAATTTATGGAGTACCATACATGCATTCTTCCCCCCCCCCCACCCCCATTACCTTCTATCTCAAAAAATAGTATGGAAAAATTCTTGAAGGATTCAAATTAGTTAAGACCATAAAGGAGAAAAAGAAATAACAATTTTCCTAAAAATCTGGTTCAATAATTAATACTTTACATTGTTAATCACAGCTGGTTTATAAATCCCAGTTTATTCTATAATGCTACAAACCTTATAAAATCAAAATTAGTAAACTTCAGTTCTCAGTGATTATATTTTAATTAAAAAACAGCATGTATAAAATAAAAAAATATCCTGTAAATAGCTGATTTTAAAGAAAATAAGTGATGAAAGAAAAACACTTAAATCTCTTTATACACTTACCTGGAATAATAAAGAACCCTTTCAGAAACTCAAAAGACTAGTATTATTGACATATATTTTTAAACTATGCTTGGGTTTTTTACAAATAAATATAAGGTAAGCCATATTGCATAGGTGTGTGCTTTCTGTCTGTGACACTCAAGTGGCACTTGACAAGTTTTCACAGTCATAGTAGGGATATCCATTTATGAAATTTCTCAATAAACCTGCCACAGTATAGAAAATTAATTTCACTTAACGTTTAAAGTTTGAAAAGCTATTTGTATGGATGGTAGGTATGAAATTAATGCTTTTTATGCAGGAAGTTACAGTGCTTGCCACTACTGCTGGCAGTACTAATTACGAAAATGGTTTAACTGTGGGGTAGTTACAGCCAGGCAATCACAATGCAAATGTTACTAGCAAATAGGACTGAGGAGGAATATTGTGGTGTAAAACTTTAACTGGAATTTGGTCAGGCAGTCAACACAATATTAACAGTAAACATATCTGAAACAAGTGTCAGAGTAGGAAAGTCATTTACAGTCTGAAATGAAGCCTGTATCTATCACCATAGCTTTTTGGGTTCTGTCTTTTTTAGACATCGTAAAGACCTGCACTTTAAGTACAATTTCTGCCCTCATTACTGTAGCTTCTCATTACTAGCTACAGTTATAAATTCAGTACACTGCTGCAATAGGGAAGAGGGGGTCTAGAGGGAGGGGTTAAAAAAAAAAAAAACTTTCTGTCCAAAGATGAGCTGTTACCAATTGTTTATTGCCACAATTGAAAAAGTGTATTTCCAATCATTTTTCATGGTTTTTCATTTGCTTAATGTCATAGGATTTCATCTTATCTCACTTGAATTGTCATTTAAGCAAAGCTTGTCTCTTTTCTGGCTGAATTCAACATGCATAAATAATTTTATGGCTTGGATCCTATGGCTCAAAAAGGTCTGGAGAACATAGCAAGCAGCATCTATTTAAAAAAACTGTAGGGTTGCAAAATATTACAAATTGACTTTGTGCACTCAGACTGAAGACATTATAAAAGACAAACAAAAGGAGGTGATAAGACTCAACTGCAACTGCATGATCATCTATTATACCAGTATGCACTGAAATATATTTTTATAAAGCTCTGCAGATATTAAACCCTTTCACCATCTACAGTCATGGAAATGCTCTCTTTAAGGCAGGAAGTATTTAAGAAAGGTAGAGTTACCTTTATTTTTATTCTTTGTACCTGTGAATCACTTATGTAGACTTTGTTACAACTGCAAAAACATAGTGTCTTGTTAGCATATTTCCTAAATTAAGCCACTAAGTTTTATTCACTGTGGAAGACATTCATCAAAAGGCCATCAAATATTTTTATAATCAAAAAACGTAGCCCCAATATAGGAGAAAAAAAAATATCTTTTTTCCTTTTAAAACCGTCGAGGAAGAAATATAAGGAAGGTAGACAGCAAAAACAGTAAAAAGAAGTAAAACTTAAAACCTTACCAAATTGCTGTAAAGACATTAGACACAAGAGAGTGGACCATGGCAACACCCTCTTCCCCTGGATTTCCCTCCTCTCACTCTGCCGCCCCACGATATGCATTTTATCCTGACTCGCTTCTGTCCTTCAGCCATGGGCTGAACACGTTTGACATCTTGAACTAAATACTGGTATAAGGTGGCGGTATTTTTCCAGTGCAATGCAGGCCCAGGATAAGGATGAAATGAAGGACATACAACTTATGCCCATTCCAAGGCTTCCAGTTAAGCTTAGCACATAACAGTACTGCAAATAGAAATGATTAAGTAGATTCTTCTTTTTTTCTCCTAGTATTACAGACAGGTATTGCAGCTGGGTTACTGAAAATAAACCCCAAGTCCACCCCAATCCCTCAAACGAGCCACAGCTGTGGTTAACAATGATTCATTTGCATTTTTATTTCACCAAGAGAAGAAACAGAAGTTGTCTGGCTTTCTTCACACCAACCAATAATTTCGCATTTTTAAAGTTTGGGATGTTTTCCATAATGAGCTGAATCAAAAATCTATTTGAAAAATATATATTTATATAAAAAAAAGATTCAGGTTGTTGCACGTAAAACATCAATTGATAAGTTTTTTTCGTCTTTGATTCCATGTTGCTGGAAAGTTTAACCAAGCTTGCATGCTAATTTGTCCTTAGTTGCAAGTATTATAGGCAAATTCATACTTTGCCTAATGGAAGGAGAACCCTTCTTCGACACAATCAGAACTCAACAGTGATTCAGAAGCAACATCCTACCCTTAATACTGTCAGTTTCAAGCCATCAACATGAAAATCCTTGATAGGTTGAGACGACGTCGCTAGGAATCAATAATTGATGTGCCTAAGAATTCCGCAATACTATTTTCACTTAAGTTTTTTTGCACCATAATTGATTTTTTAAAATCCATGTTTAATTTTCCTCTGTCCAAAGTGTTCTATATCATGACACTGACTCTTCGAGACTGTCATTTTGAGTCTTCCTGTTTCACCCTGCAGGATGCTCACACATCCCCTCCCCACCTTTTTTGCCTTCAATTCATTAAAAGCATTGTTTTGTCATAGATTCATACGCAGGTGCTCTGGTCGTTTGGAGATCATGGGAAAAGCTTGCTTTTTGTACGGTCCGGAGTTTGGCTGTCGTATTGGAAGCGGTGCTGAAGCCTCCCCGCTCATCGTCACGTCCATCTGCTCTATCCCACTTGTCTCCATCGGGTACTCCACAGGTGTCTGCGGATTTGCCGTGCTGGCTGAAGCACCTCTTCCCCAGAAATCCCCAGGAGAAAATTTGACTGGGCTTTAAGACAAGGAAGAGCTATCATTTGTCTCAAGTACTATCTCAACAAGAAACATTTCCCTTACATTTAAAGCGAGTGGGGTCAGGTGATTTTTTTTTCAGTTTCCTTTTTGTATGGATTGGCACAGAGGCAGAAGTTGAGCCATCTCTCCCCTAGACTAATTGTTACTTTCCTAATTGGTCTCTTAACCTCCACACTTGCCCTCATAAAACCATCAAAGAAACTTAGAAAAAAAAAAAAAAATCATTTTACTCCCCCACTTAAAACAGCTTCTCATTGCATTTAAACTATTTCTCCAAACCTTTGTCATTCCCTTCCTCACTCACCAGTTCAGGAATGTTGACCGCCCTTTCATTTCCAAGAAGGCAGCCAAGTGTTTCCTCCTTGAGAACTCCCGCACGAGCGTTCTTCTACCTCTAGCACCCCTGTAGCTCTCTCGTTTTGTATGGCTAGCTCTTCCATGAACACGCGCCCCCGTGTTATTTTTTGCATTTTACTAACACATTTTTTTTTCACATAGCATTTGGCACTACTTGTAATTACATATTTTTTGTATTTCCTTCTTTGTTTTGACTCTCTCACTAAATTGTAAGCTTCATCAGGACAAGGACAATTCCTGTCATAATCATGTGTCCCCAGCACACAGCACAACCCCTGGTGCATAATAAATGTTGAACAAATGGTTAAAGAGGACACTCTGCAGTGCAGCAGCTCACTTTCAGGAGGGAAGGCAAGCTATATAGCATTTTCTCACTGATTAGTCACAGATGGATCACTTCCAGTATAAGAGGGTAGAGATGTCGTGCTTAAGCCAACCAAGTAGGATGACAAATTTTCCATTTATGTTATTTGGCATAAATTTCTTAAACAATGCGCTTTCTTCTAGATTAAAAAATAATAACAAAGTCTGAATACCTGACAGGTGTTCGTGGGCTGCCAATAAATCTTCGAGGGGATCGGATTTTTGGTTCAAAGGAAAACTTTTCTTTCACGCTTTCAAGTACAGATGGAGCCACATATGTAAAACCCTGAAAGATAGTAACAGTGGACTACAGAATGTCGAGAAAAGGTGGTTGCTCAGTCTCTGACACACCAAGATAATGATGTACACCTAAAATCACCAATGTGATTACTCTCCAACCTCCTCAATCTCATTTCACACCCATTACCTTCCTTCCAGCCATTTCTAGACGCATAAACCCCAAGACAGCAGAATTCTATTGAACCCCAAAGGCCAGCAGACAAAATTTCACTGTATTAAAAGAAGTAGAACAAAACAGGAAAAGTACAGGCTCTACATTAAGATGTTAAATACCAAGAGAAATGCAGAGAAATTCTACTGCTTCTAGCCACATACATATAAGCAACTCATTAGGCTGAAATAAAAATAGAATTCTCTAACTTGGCATATGTGGTCTTTCTGGTTTTATGCCAATGATTGAATAGATTTGGATTTTCCTGACAAGTAAGGGCCAACATTGTGTTAACAGGCAATAATGCAGTTTGTTAGCTTTAGTTCTTTCTTGGATCTGGCTATTAGATTACCAGCTATCATTAATCTTGCTGTTAATGTTCATCCCTTTAACAGTTAATCCTATACCTATCTTCCTATCCTTGTGACCTATACGCAGGCATTTGACTTATTATAAAAAGACTCAATAAGGCTTTGGGTGAAGTCCTGAAGAGTGAGGTGCAATTTTATAGAGCATATACTTTGTGACAGCTACATGTGGATCACCAAGGCCATTTCCACATATGTTCTAGTGGGCTGAAGCTTAACTACCAAGAGGACCAGACTCTGCCTTAATCATCTTTGAATATCCTTTAATTCTATCAGGATTTAAACTACTAGAGGGTGGGTGGGAGGGAGGCTCAAGAGAGAGGGTATATATATACACACACATACACACACACACATACACACACACTTACGCTTTGTATGGCAGAAATCAACACAGTATTGTAAGGCAATTATCCTATGGAATCTAGAAAAACAGTACAGACGAACCTATTTGTAGGGAAGGAATGGAGACTCAGATGTAGAGAATGGACTTGTGCACACAGCAGGAGAAGGAGAAGGTAGAAAGTAGCACTGACATATATACACTATCATGGGTAAAATAGACAGCTAGTGGGAAGCTGCTGAATAACACAGGGAGCCCAGACTGGCCCTCTGTGACGACAAGGGGTGGGATGGGAGAGGGAGGGGAAGCTGAGAGAGAGAGGATCATCTATATATAATTATGGCTGATTTGCGTTGTTATATGACAGAAACCAATACAATACTGTAAAGCAATTATCTTTCAATAAAAAAATACTAACTGCACCGCAGCTACTACAGTCACAATCCCCAGATAAGTGAGCTGTTACTATTTTAAATTAGTTTTAAGAGATCTTTGTGTACAGAATTCTGGCTACTACCTAAACATGAATTGTTCTTGTGTTCATTAGTTGTTCAATTTAAATAATTAAGAGAAGCGCAACAACTCAGAATGAAAGCTTAGCTCCATAACTTCTGCCACCACAACTTTGGATTTCTTTGTAGCAAGGTAAGATGTTTCTAGACTTTTTAATGGGGGAAAAAATTGTCAAACTAGCTAAAACTCCATAATGCTCAACTAAAGAAAATGTCTGTATGTTGAATCGAAGGTATAAATTCCACATCAGTAGAAAAGAAAACTCCACATAATGAGAGAAAAAAAAGAAAGCAACAACAGCATGAAAATGAATCATGCCTACTCCCCTAAATGAGAGATTTTACTAAGGGAGAATATAGTAATTTTGCAAATCATGTAGACATTCATCTTCCTTCTTAAGTAATTAAAATGCTATAAAATTATATTTTTCACTTATATTCTTATACTACCATATAATCATACATTTATAGAATTATTACTATTCAATGTTATTTACTCAAAAGCATACTGTACTATGGTGATTTAAGTGCTCTTTTACATGATTTCTGTGTTCCATGCTAACTTCAGAATTGACCCTCCGCCCCAAAAGATACAATACTGTGTTACATTGTGATTTGAGAATCAAGTTAATGACAAATCCTGTGAACTCATAAACAAGGGAGAAAAAATTTCCAAATGATTACTTTTCCCATGTTCTACTCTCCCTAGAGATAGTCCAAAAAGAAATGATAAAGGATAATGACAAATGACAAAGGAAACAAATGACATGTACTTATAGTAATAAAATAAGCACTAGGCAAATAATATGTAATGATGGTCATCAGATATAAATCTATCATTTCTGTTGATCAAAATCTAGAAGTTCTGGTTTTCTATCTGAGGAGACAAAGTATAAATCAATACAGATACTTCCTCCTTAGGGTTCATTTGCTTACAATCACACATGAAGCAATGTATTTTGACGTCAAATATTTAAAATCAACAGGTTAAAAATCCCCTACAGATAAAAATCTTTAGCTGTTTCAGGAATAAAGTAGTTACTATCAGCCCTTCTTCTCCTACTGCTATGGCTGTGTGGCCTTCAGTTAGGATGCTGAGCCAAACATTTTAAGTCAGTGGCCTATTCAAAAAATGAATCATATACTCTGACTCTAATCGCTAAAATGGAATGCTGAGTTATGCAACATCAATTACTCATCAATAAGTCATAAGGGGATAACTTTAAAAAAGCAACTCAGGGTATCTACATTCTAACTTTCTTATTGAAAAGGGCCCATCCTCATATTTAAATTTCCCAGGGCTGCACGGGAAAGCCTTTCACTTACCAGGAAGACCTGGTTGGCACTTTCACTGAGAGCTGAGTCATCTGGGCTGTCAACAGGTGTCTGACGTGTAAACTTGGAATCAAACTGACTCACATCCTCTTCCGATTGCTTTATAAAGAAAAACGATTAGAAAATGGTGAACAGGACTTCCCTGGTGGTCCAGTGGCTAAGACTCCATGCCCTCAATGCAGGAGGCCAGAGTTTGATCCCTGATCAGGGAACTAGACTCCACATGCTGCAACCAAGTTGCATGCCACAACTAAAGAAGCTGCATCTACAATGAAGACCTGTTGTAGTCAAATAAATAAATAAATATTAAAAAAAAAAAAAGAAAATGGTGAACAGACTGTATTATACATAACAATCAAAGGCATTACATGCGTTAGGGAAGGCTACAGATAAAGCTCTTTTCTCAGGGTTTGACTGTAATAAGAGCAGAATAGCCTGAGCAGGCACAGATTGAGAAATAAATACAACTAGAAAGTATCAAAGGTCAAATGACATCTTTAGTTATCATTTCTATTAAAAACCTGGCTATCAATCATCCCCTCTCACAAAGCTTCAGTGTGCCTAGCTAAATCCCTTTTTATAGACAATTTGCAGAATTGGCAAAGCTGTAAAAAACTTGAAGCAGAGTTTAAACACAAAGTAACATGCTCTGGTTAAAAGATTCTTCCCATAGCTTGTTTCATTCCTATAAATTTCTTTAGGAACAAGAATAATATTCTGCTCTGCCTAAGTGTATTTTCTTGTGAAGGAATATTATCACCTAAATCTGACTACCCAATCTGTTTCCTTTCTCTGGTACAACACCAGACTCATGGCTGTGTCAAGGAACTCAGGAACCAGGACTTCCCTGGTGGTCCAGTGGTTAAGACTCTGCGCTTCCACTGCCAGCGGCACAGGTTCGATCCCTGGTTGGGGAAGTAAGATTCCATATGCTGCACAGTATAGCAAAAAAAAAAAAAAGAACCTCGGAACCAACAGGATGGAAAAGATGTCTAAAGATGGAAAAAGCTGAACATCAATAAAAATAACTGCAATGAATTAAAACTTAAATATGTTAAACAGCATGAATTCATAATTGTAGTAAAAAAATCCCATAATTCATTGGTCAGTTTTGGAAGATGCTAGGGAACTAATTCATTATTTCAAGAACTGGGAAAGAAAACATTTATCCTGCCTTTTCTATACAAACTGTGCCTCAGGTAACCAAACAACTGATTGTCCTCATCTTTTCACAGGACAATTCCACCTAATAAAGAATGAGTAACGATTATTAGAATAGGACAATTCGGCAAACCCTTAACGAAATCTTGGAACTAACTAGGCTCTAGATTCTCAGCCTTAGCACTATTGACATTTTGGACCTGATGCCTCTTGCTGCAGGAGGCTTGGCTGTCCAGTGCATTACAGGACGTTTAACAGCATCTCTGGCCTCTACCCATAAGCATCAGTAGCACCCCTCCCTAAGTTGTGGCAGCTTGTCTCTGACATTGCCAAATCAACCCTAGCTGAGAACCACTGATACAGGCAATGATTAATGACCACTAACATCACTAACTCCGGGAGTTGGTGGGGGACCCGGAGGCCTGGCGTGCTGCGATTCATGGGGTCACAAAGAGCTGGACACAACTGAGCGACTGAATTGAACCGAACTAAACATGTAATTTAAGTAAGTTAAACTGAAATGTTTAAGTACACATTATATCTTCTGATCAAAATATACAGCACCAAAAATTTAATCTGAATCAGATCTAAACTAAATCTATACTATCAGTTTTCAGAAATATGAGGAACAGGTGAACATGGCTGAGGACACACCATGGAGTTAAAACCAGCAAAATCAACACAGGAGCAACGGCACAGGACAAACGGTGAAGTTTCTTTAGTAAGTCCTCAAAGGAGGAACTGAGAGGAGATACCAGGTCTGTCTCGTCAAAGCGATGGCTTTTCCAGTAATAATGTATGGATGTGAGAGTTGGACCATAAAGCAAGCTGAGCACCGAAGAATTGATGCTTTTGAACTGTGGCGTTGGAGAAGACTCTTGAGAGTCCCTCGGACTGCAAGGAGATCAAACTGGTTAATCCTAAAGGAAATCAGTCCTTAATGTTCTCTGGAAGGATTGATTGCTGAAGCTGAAATTCCAATACTTTGGCTACCTGATGCAAAGAACTGTCTCACTGGAAAAGACCCTGATGCTGGGCAAGACTGAAGGCAGGAGGAAAAGAAGACAGAGGATGAGACGGTTGGATGGCATCACTGACTCGATGGACATGAGTCTGAGCAAGCTCCAGGAGTTGGTGATGGGACAGGGAAGTCTGACATGCTACAGTCCATGGGGACACAAAGAGTCGGACACGACTGAGGGACTGAACTGATCTATGGATGGAGAGACCTAAGAAACACAGTAATCAACCTATACAGGTCTTGACTGAATCCTTATTGAATCAAAACAACAGGGGGAAAAAAAAAACAACTGGGGAAATTGTTAGCTTTTTAGCTATGATGATAGCATGGTGGTTATGTTTATGTTTAAACAAGAAGACTTGATAATTTTTGAAGCTGGGCAGTTGGTACATGAGGGTTTTATCCTGACAGTTATGTTCAAATTTTAAATTTTAAAATATGTTGAAATTTTAAAGCAAGCAACCCCTGTGCTCCTAGGACCAAATAACCATCATTGTTAGACTACTCCTTTTCCTCCGCTTCAAGAAACAGAAAACGAAACCATCTTTTCTCAAATTCTTGAGGTGGGAAAAAGGAAGAATACACTAACTCATTCACTTATAAATGTATTGTTATGGTTTGAATGGTGTCCCTCCAACGTTCATATGGCGAAGTTCTAACCCCAGGACCTCAGAATGTAACCTTGTTTAGAATGAAGTCTGTCACAGAGGTAACTAATTAAGGTCAGATCATACTGGAGTAGGGAGGGATCCTAATCCAATATGACTGGTGTCCTTACAAAAATGGAAAATTTGGATGCAGATCTACACACAAGGAGAATGCCACATGAACATGAAGGCAAAGATAGGATGATGTACCTACAAGCCAAGAAATGCCAAGGATTGCCAGCAAACCAGCAAAGGCTAGCAGATAAGCATGAAACAGTCTCTCACAGCCTGTATCAACAACCAACCCTGACAATACCTTGATGTTGAACTTCTAGCCTCCAGAACTGTAACACAGTAAATTTCTGTTTAAGCCACCTAGTTTATGATACCTTGGTGTATGAAAGCAAATTCAAAATGGGCTGAGTTAAGCAAAACAAAACAAAGCAAGAAAACTAAAAGTCCCAATTACTTAAGCTATTTAATTATCTTAGGCAACCAACTTAAAACCAGTTAATATAGTCATTAATTGCTAATGTAGTTCCTTAAAAGACTGTGCAGAATACAGATTCTGAAGAGAAAAGAGGATGGGCCAAAGGTTTTCATATCATTAATAAATATTACTAACTGGTCTGAGATTTTCTTATTCTAAAAAAAGTACCAGGGCTCTCAAATTACATGCTTTCATGAATACACACCAAAAGAGGCTTGAAGGGGGGCTCCACCTTCCGAGCCAGCAGTTCTTCCCAGTTAATATGTCTGAAGAATGGATGAGCCTGGGAAAAAATGAAACAAAAAAGCAAGAAGAAAGATTAAGGGGAACAGACTTCACTGGATTGACAAATTAACAGATTATTTGAAGTTACCAATCACAAAATAAGATATACTTATGAGCAACTACATATAACCTTCACAAATATACAAAATTGGCATTCTCTTCCCCTCAAACCACCAAACATGCCAGTCCCTACTTGAACTTCTCCAGCATCCCCAGGACCAGCTCCAAGACGAGAAGCAGCATTTCTTTTCAGCAGCTTTTAGGAAGGAAAAGAAAAACACTGATGAACTTAATCAAACTGATTATTTTTCTTTATAGAATCTGCAGGTCTATTTTGCCTTGAGAACATATGCTTTATTAATTACTTCCAAACATTGTCTGGGAATAAAAAGAAAAGAAAGTCTTAAATAAACACATTTGTACTTTAAAGGCAAAAACTGTAGGCTTTTTTGTCAACATCTGTGTATGATTCTATATTCAAAATGTATATTCAGTTCTGTCTATTTAAATCCCAGTAGTTGAGACTTATGGGTTGAGTGCTAATTTTAGAATCCTACCTTTTTAAGCAGATCTCTGGCTTCTTGCGTGAGGTAGGGAGGCAAATTGAGTTTACATTTGAGGATTTTGTCAATTGTTTTCTTTCTATTCTCCCCAGTGAACGGGGGCTAAGAATAGAAGACAGTAAGAAAAATTAGCATGGAAAGAATATCAAATTTTAAATAACAGAATTATCCATTTCCTGAATTAGTCAGTTACACAGAGATCAGAAATGTATGCTCTGATGTGGGATGACTGACCGCTAAAGAGCTGTAGTTTTTAAGCAATGGCACAGAGATAAAGCAACGTCCTGGAAGAAACTGGTTTTCTACCATTAGCCTGGTGTGATAAATGTATAAGCCATGTGATTTTATGCTTCACTTTGTCCATCTATAAAATAAGGGCAATACTTGTTTTGCCTCTGATTCATAGGACCACAGGCCATGACACAGATCATCTAAATGAAAATACTTCTAAAAGTACAGATGAAAATACTTCTAAAAGTACAGGGGCCCATAATACCACTAATAAAGTGTTGCTAGTGTTAGATTTTTAAAAATAACTTCATTGAAAAATAACTAATTTCATGGGTGACATTTTCCAAAAGCACAGGCAACATCTCTTCCTGCACTGACTCCGTAACGACTCAGCACAGACCATAATACATGCAGCTTTTAACTGTGCACCTACTGCTCCAGTCAGCATGTCATACATTAATGCTCCCAAACTCCACCAGTCCACAGCACGGTTGTGGCCGCTTCTCATCAAGATCTCAGGGGCCCTACAAAGAGGAAAATAACACACCTAAGAAACCCACTAGTTGAATATCATCTGAATCAAAATTTCTACAAGATAGAGAATCAAACAGTGCAACAGAAAATCCAGCACACTTATTCCTTAAACCAGGTAAAAGTTAGCTATTGCCCCCAAACCAGCAATATTTCTTTCAACATGCAGCTCACATGTATTCTATTGTTCCACAAAATGTGTGTGTGACTGTTCCGTCATGAATAGATTCTTTGCATAGTCCAAAATCTGTTAGTTTGACGTGACCTAGAATGAAAGATTAAAGATGGTTATTCTGAGAATTCTAAGTACGTGCAGTGTTTAAATGTTTTCATACGAGACAATAATCTACCCTTCCATTTTAATTTTTCTGCCTTCAATTTATTTTTTGAGATCAAGAACTAGCAATGTTCCATCCAAAAATAAGGATGCTAATTCATGCAGGGTAAGGCAAAATTACCTTTGCCAGTGATATAATCTATCTTGTGGGAAAATAAATAAGACAAAAAGGCAAAACAGCTTGTCTAAGGCTCCAGCTTTATATATACCAAAAATCCTTTACCATCCTGAGCAAGTAAGTCCTGGAAAAACTTGATGAAGTCTGGATTAAGTATACAGACCCTAAAAAAAAATCTTCTGCATGCTTTAAACAAAGGTGTGACACTGTACTTCAAATATATTGCTTTTATCACCATGAACTGTGACCTAACAGTTCTTAAAACAGTCTTAGTCACTATAACAAGTTAGCTTATTCTGCCAATGCAGTTTGGAAAAAGAAATGAAATTTCTACATAGCATGGAACCATCATTTCTGATCCAGAAAGTAAAAAACTCATCACCTTATACAAAGAACACTTCAGTTCAAGTTTAGTCCTGCTGACCTGTCATTAGCTATCCAGTAGTTTAGCAACCCCAGGGACCCTACTATTCCAGGTTTATTTTGAGAAAAGGCAATGGACTATAAATAAACTCACATGTAAATGTGTACTTTACTCTGACATAGAAGAAGACATATGACATTTTCACAGAACTACCTGATACACTTAGGTTATGGATCAAAGAAGTTAACTAATCACATTCCTATTCTATCCCTTGTCTTAGAATTCAGAATCTAAATTTGGGGCAATGAGGACAAAACTGGGAGAAAGGAAGATACACAGATATCCATGACAAATGTGGTTAAATACAGCATTTCTCCCAAAAAAAAGGGAGAGGGGGAGAAGAAAAGAGAAAAAAAATCCCACAATTTGAAACATTTATTCTGGCATCGGTTGTCCATAAGCCATTTTCTGTTCGAGAGCTAACTACCTCTTGCATCATTTGATAAATACCTAAGGATCAGCAGCTGCCACTAGCCCCCAGATACCACATTGGCTGGCTGCTCCTCTGGGATGTGAGTGAACTGCCAAGTCTGCCCAGCCCAGGTTACCCTCACATAAGCTGAACTGTCTGTAGCAACATGCAGTTACCATCAAGGCTCACTCTGCGGTACCCACAGCTGTAGAGAATATTAGTTTGTCTGATTCTTACATTTGTTACAGACAGATAGCAAGGATAAACTGATGCCTACTAAACATTTTATTTCCCAAGTATAATCAAATAGTTTGGTTCAGTTCTAATCTCCTTCTCTTTTATACAGCATTAATAGAATTTATCATAAAAACATTGTTTCTATTTCTGTATTTTCATCATTAAAGAAAACTCAATTTATAAAGTTAAGATTCACTTTCCAACTTAAGAAACAAACCAAAATTAATATTTGGACTGGCTTTTGGCTCACCACACTTTATGTAAGGATTTCAAAAGAATGACAAGCTATAAAGAGTAAAGGTTAAACTAGAAAACGGAGTTGAGTTTTCTAGTTTTCTTTTTAATCTCATTAACCGTAAGTAGAAGCATCATGATGCTATAAATTCTGAGGGAGGAACATATAGTAACAGACACATGAATATGGGGCTTTGAAAATGACCATGAACCTGTGTGGAAGATTTTAAGATGATTATTTACTATAGAACTGTTTACAGTATATCTCCACCTTGGTGATTAAGCATGATATTCTCCGGCTTCAGGTCTCTGTAGATGATCCCCTTTTGATGTAAATGCCCCAAAGCCATGGAGATTTCTGCCAAGTAAAAGCTGGAAACAAAAGTGATTTAATAAAATTAAAAAGAATAATCCACTCAAAGCAGTTTATGTTTGGAGCAAAATTCCTTGAAAGAAATAGACATGCACCAAAGACCAAATTAGTGGGGGTGGGTATGGGGAAGAGAGATGGCATAGGCTGCTGCCAAAACGCATGGAGACATTTATGTTTCACTTGTTTAGTGAAACTATAAAATGTTTTATTTCATCAATAAAACATCTTGCTAAAACTGCAAAGTCGTCCAGATTATGCCAAACTGTCACTGGTCATGTTTTGTTCTGTCTATGTGGGAACTGGGCCAATAGTCATTCAGATCAAAGCAAATTTCTCCCACCCACCCCCAATTTTTAAATTCCATAGGAAATAGGAACTTCATTATTCTCCGAGATCAAGCCTTAGTTTAAAAAATACCTTAAAACCTGACCCTTAAAAGCCCACTCATCCCTTACTTAATATAGCTGCATATTTATATACAGCTCATGCCCACAGTATCTGCCCTCCCTCTTGCCAGCCAGCCCACAACTATAAATTGTGTGACACTCAAATTTATCTACCTCAAAAGAATAAAGGGCTGAGTCAACCCTGTCTGGATTCGAAAAGCACAAGGCACTGCAATACTGGCTGCATAACAATGTTGCAATCCTGCAGATTACTCCAGGATGGAGAGGGTGTGTCCTAGAGAACTGAGGCAGTTTCACAGCCAGCAGGACCACAAACACAGCCTCCAACACGGCTCAGAGAGCCTCCTCCAAAAAAGGGCACTTCATCCCTAAGGCTCTTAAATGCAGCTTCTGTGTTAGAAAAGGCCTGAAATTAAACAATGGAATGCAGTTTGGTAATTAAGGTAGAAAAAAACATTTAAGTGTTTTCTATTCAATTAATGTGTAGGATAAACTGATTTATTGTTACCCAGTACTGTCATCTCACAAAAGGGTATGTATATTTTTAATTTGAAGCAGATGCCATCTTAAGAAATAGAAGGGTAGATCCCATCCTGGCCACTGAATCAATCCACAGATGATGTGTGCAGACTTATCACCTCCCTAAGACTGCACCTTGGGAACTGGAAAGTCTACAAAAAAAAGGAGATGGTTTCTGATATTTTCCATGGGTCCACACATAAAAGTTTCACTGGAAAACCACACTCACCCAGAGCCAAGGCAGGCAGCTTACCAATTCAAGGAAATAAAGCCCCAGTGAGAATGGTTCTGTTAGGAACTGGTGTGAAGAACGTTCCACCCAAGGCCTGGGGGCAAAGGAATGATGTGATCTCTAATAGCTGCCAAGCGCAAAGCTGCTTCTCCCCATTGAGTCCTGAGTGACTGACTGGCTCCAGAACAATTTACTGGCTGCCCACAGTGGGAACAAGACTTTGCTTTTAATTATAGGAATTATTACCTGAATTCATAAAACCACAAAAATTTCACTTACCAGGCTGTGTCTTCCATAAATATTCCTTCTCTTTCTAACTGCATAAATAATTCTCCTCCTGTAAAGAAAAGAAAAAGACATTAGAAATACAACAATCTTTATTTCCAACAATCCACTTCTAATGAGAGGGTTTGTGCTTTCCTCTTAACCATAATTAAAAGACATCAACCCTTTAAAAATAAAAAACAGATCCTAAAAATTAGAGGTTTAAAACTAAGTCCTCAGGATTCCATTTTTAGCAGTGTTCTTCTTATGTGAAATACACAAGTTTGGGAATTCTAGCTTTTACATCTAAACTTCAAAATATTTACAACAGATTTCAGACTTGAGGTTAAAAAAAATCTTGATTCAAGCTTCTCTAACATTTTACTGGTAAGTGGAAAAATGTTAATATGTAATTAAACCATCCTTGCAAATTAATGAATGCCCACATTCCACATTTTTAGAACTCTAAAATGGAATGAATTTGTCAGTCTTAGGTAGATAGTATGGCATGATTTGAATATCAAAATAAACAATGTTACAATGTTAACAAAATGTTATAGCTTACTAAATAATCTTAGAATCCATGAGTCCACAATGATTTAAATAAAAGAATAGATAAATTTCTGTTTTATAATGGGGGAGAACAGAAAGCTCTTTGTTACAGTAGAATGCCAAATAACAAATGAAAGAGGCATGATGGAATAAGAAAAATCACTTGGCAATCATAGTTAATTGTTTCAGGCAAGAATCAATGGATGCTAAAACTGTATGTGAAAGCTTGATGAGAGATGAGATATTTGAATAATCTCAAAGTATCTCCTCAAGATACTTGTTAATTAAAAAAAGGAAAAACTTCACCAAAAAAAAAAACCACAAAAAAATTCACCGCCTTGTATGTATGATCAAAGTTAAAATCAACAGTAATGGAACAAAGATACAAATCTTATGTACTTCTTGCTCCAATACACAGAGCAGGAAAGGCCGTCACTTCATTGGTCCTCCCAGAAGTGCATACCCTGAGTCTAATCCTGAGGAAACACCAGATAAGCCCAAACTGATGCACTCTACAAACCAGACTGCACCCTTCAAAACTGTCAAGGTCATGAAAGACAAAGAAAGACGTAGGAACTGTTTCAGATTAAAGGAAACTAAGGAAAGAGATTACTGCTATCAATGTTAATTTCCTATTTTGATAATTTAAGTATAGTTAAGTAAGATACTGTGGTTAATTTCAGAAAAATATACTGAAATATTTAGGGATAAAGGGAAATCAAGTGTGCAACACTCTCAAACAGTTCAGGAAAAATTATGAATATATACACATGTGTGTGTATAGATATCTATAAACACATTTATGTATATATATCTATATACACACCTGCATATATACAGATACAGAGAGGGAGAAAAAGAATGATGAAACAAAACAACTGTGGTAAAATGATAATACTTGGGGAATCTAGGTGAATAGTAGGTGGGAATTCTTTGTCCTATTGCTGCACCTTTTTTGTGTAAATCTGAAACTAGGTTAAAATAAAGTTACAAGAAAAAATGGTAACAGTCACAAAAAAGTTATTAAATTATGCAGCTTTCTATTCTATGTTACAGGTTATTGTGAAATCTGTTTTTCAGAAAACTCAAGTGTGTTTGCTGGAAATAGATACCTGTGATCTAAAAATGGTATGGGGTGCCACAAATTCCTAAGAAGGGGTAAATCCTGGAATGAGTGGGGGATTTCCAATGTAAAAATGCAAAATCTATCTGTAGAATTACATTAAATAAAAAACACTTCTGTTTAAAGATGCAATACCAAAAATACTCATTACCTTAAACAATACTCTAAGTTTTCCATTTCAGTTAGTGGTTTATTTGAATTTTATTATCTTACCCAAGTGCAGTCAATTTGATGGCTATCCATTAGGTTTTTGTTATTTTGTTAACTGATTACAAGAGAATTAAGATAAAACATTACAGATGAAGAAAAAAGACAACCTTTAAAGTTTCCTTCATATTTGTCTACAAAAAGAAACATCTGGTCCCATGTGAATTTCTTATGTTAATGTACTTGTTGATTTTAAGAACTATTTGGTCACACTGGGAAAAAGCATTGTTCTATTGAAAAATAATGTTTTGAACAAGTTTCTGGAGCTAATGCAAATAATTACACCAAACTGTGTACTGACCGCTGAGATACTCAAGGATGAGGTAGAGTTTTCCACCGGTCTGAAAGGCATAAATTAAATCCACAATGAAAGGATGCTTTACTTCCTCCAGAATATTCCGTTCTGCTTTTGTATGAGCTGTATCTTTAGCATTTCTTACTATCATTGCCTAAAGGAAAAGAGATGATCTATAAGAACAAAATAGTAGACATTTTTATCCTATAGGATCGGGAAAATCTATTTTGTGCTTTTCTCGCCAACATTAAACTATGAATCCTAGTTCTCACTAGAGACTGAGACAGGGGAAACGGAAGACATTCGCCTCTTATATACATCTGCACTGTTTGGATTTTTCTGCAGTAAACATGTAAATGAAAGCCTAAATAATTTGTTTTCATGTAAACATCAAGTTTATTCAGATATTCACTAACTTTTTTGAATGTCTACTCTTTTCTAGGCTCTTAACAAGAAAGCAGAATTAACAGGAGTCTCCAGCCCATAGGAGCCCAAAGTCCCAGGGAAGAGAGATGAGTCATGGAGCTAAGCACCAGGTGCCATGGGTGAACAGCAGAACTAGATATGACAGCCAGAAGTCTTCCTGTAGGTGGTATACGTAAGCTCTATCATAAAAAGTTATTAAGATAAAATGTGGAAGGTGGGAAAAAAAAAGGCACTCTCAATGCAAAAGTGACCTGACAGGACAGAGCGTGTTGAGAGGATCTACTAAGTAGTTCAGCATGGTTAGAAGCGGTTAGATGTATTAGGCTGGAGATACAGGTGGAGGCCAGGGAATGGAAAGCCCCGGCATCGAGGAAAGGCATTTGAATTATATTCTTTAGAGGCTGAGAAGAAATCTTGAGATAAGGTAAATGAATAACCCTTGTCTTTAAGAAAGACAGCTCAAGTAGTACTGTGAAGTTTTAGGGAAGAAACAACATCTGTTAGGAGGCTAGAAAAGTAGCTAAGAAGTAAAATCTGTACCTAAGAAAATGAAGGTGGGGGAAAAAAAAGGGTAAAAGTGCATCATTAGCACATTCTGACTTATGAGATATGAGAAGAATGATACCATGGTTTCTGTGTAACTAATAGTGTCATTGAGGAAATGGAAACAAAGAAGAAAGTTTTGGGGAAATGATACACTGTTTTGGACATGAAAAAGCATGTACACAAGGTTATAGGTTGGAATATCATCAATATTTGTAAAAGTGAAACATTAGAAACTATCTAAATGCCTAAGCATAGGATAGTGAATGAAAACCCTATAAAGCAATGAAAAGAATGAGGGGGACTTCCCTGGTGGTCCAGTGGCTAAGACTCTGCACTCCCAATGCAGGGGCATGGGTTCAATCCCCGGTCAGGGAACTAGATCCCCACATGCCACAACTAAAAACCCTGCATGCTGCACCTAAGACTGCAGCCAAATAAAGAAAGAAAAATAATATTTTTTTTTAAAAAGAACAAGGAATATATCTGTGAAAGCAAGGTGCAAAAGAACATATATGGCCCAGCAGTACACACAGTATGCTACCTTTTGTGTAAAAGAGGAAATAAAAATATAATAATATGTACATCCTTATAAATGCAATAATGAGCACAACTAAGATAAGTCAAATGTTAATGAAAGGGTATCCCCTGACAGTCTAGTTCTCACTGCCAAGGTCCTGGGTTCAATCCCCGGTCAGGGAACTAAGATCCTAAGTGCTGTGTGGTGTGGTCAAGAAAATAAAATAAAATCCTAACAAGAAACCTATCAAAAAAAAAAAAAAAAAAAAGCTAACAACCATGGGAAGGCAGGAAAAGGAATGGGAATTTTAAGTAAAACCGTAATAGTTTTATCATTTATTTCTCTTCTTACCTGAATCAAATATCATATGGTGATTATAAAATGGAGATCTTGAATTCTGAGCCATGACAATGTTTTATACATTTCAAAAAATTAAATCAACAAGGATAGGGAAGGCAAATAAAACTGAGTACAGGAGAGACACATAAATTTAACTGACTTTTATTAGGCTGGCCAAAAAGTTCATCTGGGTTTTTCCATACAATAGTACAAAAAACCAAGTGAACTTTTTGGCCAATCCAATTCTTTGATAATTTTACCACAAAAAGAGAAAAAAGATATTTATATAACTTTACACTGCACATTCTTAAGTAACATATATGTAAGCATAACAAAAATTACAAGGAAATCTTAAGCCATACTTAGTAGGCTTGTAGCTACTACTAGTACTATTGGTATTATAATTCTCAAACTATTAGCATATATTGTACCACTTAGTAAATGAGTAAATGTATTGATCTTGTTATCAGGCTTTTCTCAATGTGGGAAAAGAGATTCAAATGTAGACTGAAGAAAAAAGAACCCTAAAGAATTGGACTGAAATTAGGAATATCAATGTGAAGCCATGATTTAAAACAAAAACAAAACTTCCTAGCTCTGTTCTGAAAGAGCCAGAAGAATAACACTTCAGTGGCAAAGACCATAGCTTGGAACTCAGATCTCGGTTTCTCTACCAAAGAAACCAGGGCTCCATGGAAAAACAGACGGTGCCAGGCCAGGGCTAGGGAACATGCCAGGGAAACCTGGAGCACACTTCTGTACAGGAAGGAAGTGCTCTGAAACTAATGGGGATGCGCCAAAAGGACACAGACGCCTTCTTAAAAGAGCTCGCTCCAGAACCATGTGGGAGAGTTTTCAGACCAAAATTTGAATAATGAAAGAGATGGATAACACTATGAAAAAAGTAGTCCATACTGTTTTAAAACACTAAACTTTGGCACTTCGCTAATGGTCCATGGTTGAGAACCCGCCTGCCAATGCAGGGGATAGAGATTTGAACACGGATTTCCAGGAAGACACCATATGCCAGCACACAGCTAAACGTGTCACCCCAACTACTGAAGCGTGCATGCTCTGGAGCCCACAAGCTGCAACTACTGAAGTCCTTGTGCCGAGAGCCCGTGCTCCGCGAGAGAAGCCACCGCAACAAGAAGCCCACGCAGCGCACCTGGAGAGGAGCCCCCGCTCGCCACAACTAGCGAAAGCCCAGTGCAGCCAAAAAGTAAATGAATACAAGTGGTTTTAAAAATTAAAAAATGTATGAAAAGCTCTCCTTTACAGAAAAAGGACAACTAACAGAGAAAAAATGATACAACAGAAAAGTCTCCACTTTATAATCACCAGAGTATTATCTGATTTGGCTAAGAAATGATGGATAATAAAACCATTGGGTGTAGAAGATTATTAGGATGGAATATTAGCACAATCTCTAACTTTCATTCCATAGATACTTTTTAATTACAGAGGGAAAAAAGGCCTCTGTAGAATGGGAAATTCTGTGGATACCACCTTAGCCAAATAATCAAACTCACCAAATAACGAGACAGACTAACCTTATGAGCTTCCTAAGGACACAACACTCATGTAAAATATTCCTGCAGAAAGCATTTAACTTAAATTTAAAATTTAAACAATTTCATAAGGAAATAATGAAACATATCCAAATCAGGGTCACTCTGCAAAATGACTGGCCCAGAGTCTTCAAAAAATGTTAGTGTCATGAAAGACAAAAAAGTAAAGGAAACTAAAGCAAAAGAAAATAAAGACACAGGACGCTAAAGTAAAAGAGACGGAAGACACAAGACTACTCGATGTAACATGTGATCCTTCATTAAATCCTGGATATTAGAACAAAAAATAGCTGTAAAGGCTATTACTGACATAACTGGGGAAGTCTGACTATAGACAATGTATCAGGAAAACAGAATTGTATACCAATATTAAACTTCCCAAATGTGATAATTACATTGGGTTATGTATGAAAATGCTCTATTCTTAAAGAGATACATACTAGAGATTTTAAAGGCAAAGCACCATATCTGCAAATAACTTTCAATTTGTATAGCAAAAAAACAAAAACTTTGAATATACACATGTGTACATACAGAGAGAGGAGACAGAAAGGGAGCAGCAGACAAAGAAAATAAGGCAAAGTTAACAATGGTGATCACTGTACTGTTCTCACAACTCTTTGCAAAGTTTGAAAAACTTCAAAGATGTGTTATTTTTTAACTGTTCAGGAGGTTTGAATTTTTTAAACAAGTAATTTTGAGAAAGTCTGAGAAGCAAGACACCAAGAAGATAAAATGAAGAATTAGGAAAGAAAAATCACAAAAAAATCACACAAGTCAAGGGAGTGTAGTTTCAAAATGCTGTGGTCAACAGCTTCGGTGCAACAGAGAGGTAAACTGAGGACGAGTTAAGGAAAGGCTACTGGATCCAGCAATTCGGAAAAAGTTTCATCAAAATAGTAGAGCTGTGAGTTCAAAATACAGTGAGTAAAAAAGATAATTAAAACATGACTTCTTAAGAAATTAGTCTATGAAAGGCAGAGACTGGAAGCTATGATAGACCTGAGTGAAGAAAGGATTTGTTTTCTAAATATGCCAAAGACATGAATATATTTAAACAGAGAATGAGGTGAGGACAGAGGATGGAGAAAGAGTGAGAAGTGACAGAGAAAAGACCCTACACAGGCAGAGAGGGATGGGATCCAAACATAAAGAGAGGGTTTAGCCTTGGAAAGGAGGAAGCATCTCCCACTAAGCCTGGAGAGAGTGAAGTGAAGACAGGTGAAAATGCAGACAATACAGTATCAGGGTAAGAAAGTTGGAGGCAATCGTATCTGACAGCCTCAATTAGGAAGAGAGGCAGTTTGCTAAAAACCAGCAGCTGGACTAACAGTAAAGGCTCTACTAGCTGTAGAGAATGGAAGGGGTTGGCTAGGAACCTTTGGTGGGTTCTGAGGGTCTACGTGAGTTGGGGACTATCAATTTTTCCCAGTAGCAATTTAAAGTATGTGTGATTAAAAAAAAAGTTTGTGTGATTTCTGCCTGTGATGTTCAATAACTGAGATACAGGAATAAAGGAATATTAACAAATAAACTGATTAGAGCGTTCTGGAGGATAAGGTCAACCAGGGATAGCAGGTGACTGACGTGGCAGAGCATGTTGATTAGGCTAGATTAGGTATAAGGTGAAATTAAAAAGGGACTAAGAACTTGAAGAAAAAAACAGAAAGGTCAAAGCACTAAAAAGGCCAAACCAGGCACTATAGGAATAAGGAAGTGTTTTTAGTCCAGTGTTTCAGAAGAGGACGATAGAACTATGGGGCCTGGTGATGTGAAATGGAGGTGAACACTGATGGATTTGGGATCAATGAGGAATTAGAAGGCTAGGCAATTGATTACTTATTTAATACAAGGACATAGAAGACACCCAGGACAATAAGACTTGAGAGTGGGGAAAAACGACTGATAAACACTAAGAAATTAATATAAGTTTAATCCTCAAAGTGCGAAGGTTTTGACTAGAGTAGAAATTATAAGGATACGCTTATCAGTTCTTCCCTTGAATTACACAGTAAGCAGAGTGAGAGCAGAGATTATGTTTATTTGAAGTGCTAAATCCTAGTGTCTAGCAAAATGCCTGGTACACTACAGCTGGTTCAATAAAAGAAGGAATGAAAGAAATAGGACCAATCTGTGAACTACAAGCCTTTGGCACCAAAGGTTCTAAAGTTTACAATGTGAGCTCAACTAATGACATGGGCAATAATATTTTGCTTCCAGAGTACACATTTTTGATGCAACTGGTAGGACAGAGAGGCAGTTGTTGGAAACAGTCTATTTCTCAACATTCTACCCTTCTCATAATGAGTAAACAAGCCCAGGAGAACTGATAAAGCCAGACGGATTATTTAGATGTAAGCAACTCATTTAAGACAAGAGAACATCTGGTTTATGATTTTATCTTTAAGGTTAGAAAGAGGTAAATTTTTACCACATACTCAGGCCAAGAGCAGAGAAGGCAATGGCAACCCACTCCAGTACTCTTGCCTGGAGAACCCCATGGACGGAGGAGCCTGGTGGGCTACAGTCCATTGGGTCGCTAAGAATCGGACACGACGTCACTTTCACTTTCACGCATTGGAGAAAGAAATGGCAAACCAATCCAGTGTTCTTGCCTGGAGAATCCCAGGGACAGAGGAGCCTGTTGGGTTGCCGACTATGGGGTCGCACAGAGTCAGACATGGCTGACGTAACTCAGCAGTAGCAGCAGCAGGTCAAAAGGGTCAGTACTCTCTGCTTCCAGAGATAACAAAATCAAAAGAAGAAACCCAAAGGGAGAACACAGCTATCTTTACCTAGGGATTCAGGAATGAAAACCTTGGACCTAACCCTAGCTTGTTTTCAGGAACAGCAAGGAAAGAATGAGACAGTGTGTGATTCTCTAGCCAGGTTTAGGGAAAGAAAAACCAAACACCAAGAACGAACGAACAAAAGAAGAGGCAAAGCAAGTTAGGTCTTCCATGCCTGGGCACAAAAAAGAAGTCTGACAAACAGCAGCAGTTATGTCTATGGACTTCCCAATATATTAATCCACACCCACTTACCATCAGTGGAGAAAAAAAAAAAAACCCTCTTCTTTCCATTAAAGATATCTGTGCCAGACACTTTAGATATAATTATGACTAATTTTGCTCAGCCCTGATTATCAGGCGTTCATCAAAAGGAATGGATTATTCTAAGAAACCTGACCAGTACTTCTTTCAACACTGCAAGAACAAGTGTTATTTATATGATCTCCAATTTTAGACTTAAAATACTTTATCCATAATCTCAAATGATTCCAACGGGAAAGCCAGAGAGCAGATTAATTCTGGCTTACTGATGCAGAGACTGAAGTTGAAAATGGCTAAACTGCTTCTTTAAGACAATCACCAATAAAGCTGTGGTCACAGGATTTGTTCCTCAGTTTTTAAATTAAGAAGTCATTTGTACTGCTTAAGTAAAAATCAGGGAAGAAAACAGGATGATATATAAACACTGTATTTTTTTAAAGTCATTTTGATTGTCTTTATATAGTTTTCTACTAAGATTTTAAGACAGTGAGATCTTTTCAGAAATCAATCCCAAACCAAAAGAACAAGAGACCAAATATACACAATCCAAGGTTAATAAAACAAAAAAAAGCATGTAACTCTGCATCTCAAAAGGTGAAAACAGAGTGGGGATAAAGCAGTTGTGAATAACTTAGTATACTGGGGTATGAGCAAACCTAAATGCCTGGAAAGAGGCGTAACTCAAAAAAAGTTGAATCCATCTATAAAGCCCTGAACAGTCAGTGTTAGTCACTCAGTCCTGTCCGACTCTTTGTGACCCTACCAGTCTCCTCTATCCATGGAAGTTTCTAGGCGAGAATACTGGCAGTGGGTAGCCATTCCCTTCTTCAGAGGATTTTCCGGACCCTGGGTCTCCTGCAGGGCAGGCAGATTCTATACCATCTGACCCACCAGATAAAGCCTTAGTAATGTTCAAAAATTAGAAGTAAAAATAAAAGGAAAGAAATGGGGAAAAAATATGGAATCATTAAGGACTATAGAAGGCAGAAGGTGGAGGGATGAATACAGGAGGATTATCTGAAAGTCTCTGTAAGGAACAGATCGATCAGCAAGATTTCCGTATCTACAGTAACCAGCCAGGAACTACCACTTGGAGAGATGCAGTCTCCAGAAAAGAAAAAAAAAGAGTGAATGATCAGATACAGAGCAGAGTGCTGAAGTAAAAACCTGACTTCGTTACTCAGCCATAAAAAAGACCAAAATAACGGGATCTGCAGCAACATGGATGGACCTAGATATGACCATATTAAGCAAAGTCAGTCAGGAAGAGAAAGACAAAATACCACATGATATCACTTACATAAACTAAAATACAACAAATTAACCTATCTACAAAACAGAAACAGACGCACAAAGCAAATACACTTGGAGCTGGGGTTGGGGAAGGTAGAGGGAAGGTTTGGGAGTTTGGGATTAGCAGACGCCAACTAGTACACAGAGGCTGGATAAACAGCAAAGACCTACCACATAGCATAGGGAACTATAATAAATGTCATGTGACGAACCACAATGGATGAAAAAGAATATGCGTGTGTGTAAGTGAAACACTGTGCTGTGCAGCAAAAATTAATACAACATTGTAAGGCAATGATATGTCAATAAAGTTAAAACAAAACAAGCGTGATTTTAGTAAAAATCTGATGTTGAAGGGGAGATCTTCACCTCCTGTCTGTCATCCAGTCTCAGAATGCTTTTTCTAGGCGAAAGGATAGAGGATCTTTCCCAGCACAGATTGATCCATACCAGAAAAAAGACCTTTAGACACTAACATTTAGAAGTTCTTAGTCAATTGCCAGCTAGCTAATCTCATGACTGCACAATGAAGGCTACACATACACAGTTTCTGATCAGCTTCTCAGAGTTCCACTCTTCAAGGATACCAGACATCTAAAGAAGCCCCCTGACATGGCAACAAAATGCTAAATCAAAGTCAGAGAAAATAGGAACTTAGAAAAGAGACATGTCTATGAAACAAAAGAATATTTCAAAGAATTTATAATTAAAATGTCTCAGAGGAATAAAAGAAGATACTGTACTCACAAAATAGATAGGGATACAAAGAAAAAACAACAAAAAGAGCTTTGGGGAATTACAAATATGATAGTTTTAAAAAAATCAGTAAGGGAATTCCTTGATGGTCCAGGGATTAAGACTCTGCATTTGCACTGCCAGGGGCCTGGACTAGATCTCTGGTCGAGCAACTATTAATGAAATCCCACAAGCCACACAGCAAAGCCAAATAAATACATTAAATTTTAAAAATGATTAGAAAGTAAATTTCTAGGAAGACCTCAGAAAGTAAACAAAAAGATAAAGAAACGGACAAGTGGAAATGAAAGAAAAATAAATGATCAGTCTAGGAGGTCCAACAGCCAAGTAAACGCAATTTTAAGAGAAGAAAACAAGGGGAAAATTATCAAAGAGATCATAAAAGAAAATTCCCTAGAGCTAAAAGACTGAAAACTTTTAAGACTGAAACAGTAAAAATAAATAGTAAGAATCAAAGCAAGACACATCACTACAAAAATCTGGAATATCAAATTCACCTTCATTCGGTTTCTCAGGAAACCCACCAGTAAATGGTCACCAAAGCAAGGGAACAGGACACAAACTAAGAAAAAAGAACATCTGGGACCCACGAAGCAAAGGACCCCACACTGAAGGAGTCAGGAGGACCTCGAGGACTGTGGTAGTGGAGGGGAAGTCGAGCAGCGACAGCTATGCTGAGAGAGAGACCAGTACAGGTGAGAACAGCGGGCAGAAGGTGCCTCTGGGGCGGCTCTAGGAAACAGGGGGCAGAAGGTGCCTCTGGGGCGGCTCCAGGAGAATGAACGGAGCTAGTTACTTATCTAGTAAGTGTGATCATGGAACACTGGCCTGAAACAGCGGGCAGAAGGTGCCTCTGGGGCGGCTCTAGGAAACAGCGGGCAGAAGGTGCCTCTGGGGCGGCTCTAGGAAAATGAACGGAGCTAGTTACTTATCTAGCAAGTGTGATCATGGAACACTGGCCTGAAAGGTGTTTTACAGAGCTGATGGAAGGTTTGAGAAGACAACAGTAGGATGAAAGAAAATGATGCCAGATGAGGATGGGAAAAAGGAAGAAAGAAGTAAAAAAGAATAAAATAGGAAGTCAATTTGTAATTCTAAAACTACTGAATTAAGTCACAACAGAACATGTTTATTACTTAGAAATACAGAGACCAGAACAAAGGGAGAAAAGAGTTAACCTCGGAGGAGAACTGAAACAATCTCCTCTGCACCCTCACCAAGTAACCAAGCAGAATAAAACAGGCGTAAGAATGATAAAATGTACCCCACATTCCAAGAGGACTTATAATTGTGGTAGAAATACAATTTTTAACTGAGAAGTTTAGACCACAATATGGATTTTATAGCAATTAAGAATATAGTTGAGGGGGAAGACAGAAATCACCTTTTTAAGCACCTTCATGGCAAATATTTTCCCAGTATTTGCTCCTGTTACTTTTCGTACTTGAAAAACCTGGATGAAAAACAAAAGTGTGTGTTATTAAAAGCTAAACTATGATAAGTCATAGTCCCTTAATTCCTATGTATATGAAGCAATGATACAGCAGTCTATATTCTTACAGAAACTAGCGCCGTGAAGGACTGTGTACATAATGATTAGCTAAAAGAGCCAGACGACATTCAAGATTTAGCAGTGTGCTTAGTCACTCAGTCGTGTCCGACTCTTTGCGACCCCACGGACTGTAACCCACCTGACTTCTCTGTCCTTGGGATTCTCCAGGCAAGAACACTGGAGTGGGTTGCCATGCCCTCCTCCAGGGGATCTTCCCGAACAGGTCTCCCACATTGCAGGCAAATTCTTATACCATCTGAGCCACGAGAGAAGCCCAAGAAAACCGGAGTGGGCAGCGTGACCCTTAGGGGATCTTCACTTCCCAGGATTCGAACTGGGTTCTCCTGCATTGCAGGAGGATTCTAGACCAGCTGAGCTACCCAGGAAGTCCTCAGTAGTGAAAACTGTCATACAACACAGAAACTTCCTGTTTCGTCTGCTGACATCTGGTGGCAAAGTTGGGCAATGACCATCTAATAACAAGCACTCTGTTATAACAAGCACTTCATGTTACTTTATAAAATCCAAGTTTGCATAGAAAAAACTATCATTATGTTTCCTAGACACACAGAAATTATAAAATAGCTCATAAATTTTCAGAGATGCCTCACATATAACTAATAATATTTGACAGGAATTACTTACGCCTTGCCATAATATCCTTTCCTGCAACAGCTAAAATATGAGATTCACAGTGCATGTGTTATAGAAAACATATGAAAGTGTGTCCTGAAGCCTAAGAATAAACTAAAAATGCCATGTTTCGCAAAAATGAACACTACACAATAGCATATATGGTTCTCAAGCTTAATCTTAACTACTAACATGTTACCCAAACTTGTCTTTGAATGGCAAAGAATGGCAAAGAGAATGTCCAAATTTTCTTGAACAGAACACTCAAAGGTGAGGTCTTAAATTAGAAAGCTTCTGGCAAAACTATGAAACCAAAAGATGTTCTTCATTTTTCTTCTCCTCTCTTAAATTCTTCAGCTTCCCTAACTCTATTGCTCCGAATACTGCAAGTCAAAGAAAATCAATTTAGATTAAGGTCTCAGTAACAGATACTAATCTAATGAGCCATGCCTCTTGAAAGTAAGGGGCAGTTTGTTTTTTAAAAGAATACCTATAGTCGGTACCATTTAGCAAAAGGAAGAAATGAACCCTCTAATAACAGATACTGCCTAGCCCAGCTGCCTATTTATTCTACAAATATTGACTGAGTACCCACACAGTGCCAGGCTTTTATGTGAATGGTGGTAAGAGGAGGAGAGCTTCTATACATTGCTCAAATAACATCAGGTTAAATGATCATGTTCTTTGCTGAGAGCTTGCAAAGACTGAAGAAGACAGCTGGAAACAGGGTGTAAACATTAATCTACCCAAGACAGACAAAAACAGCTCTCATTTCAAAATACTTCCTACCTTTCCATAGCCCCCTTTACCAAGTACTCGAAGTAGCTCAAAACATTCTGGTCTGATTTTTTCTGGCCCTCTGTTCACACTAGTTTCTGAGATTTCAAATTTCTCACAATGCTCCATGCCACTGGGGAGAAAAGCAAAACCAAAAGTAAATTTGCGAGAAGTTAAAATTACTTTCAGCGTACTGTTAGAATGAGAATTATACTCCAATTAAGTAAAAGGAAAAAAGTACAAGATAGCAAATTTAGTATCTGTGCTCTAAGTTAACTAATGATTCGAAGACATGGTAGGTCAAGATTAGGGTGGCTTGAGGGCTGTCTGCTGATCTGCTTGTTTACAGAATGTGCTACTGATCACTGATTTTCATAAGCATCAAGTACTCCCGAACTAAGATGAATTAGAACAAGTTTATTATGCTGACAAAGGAAAAAAGTCTTCTAGTTATTCAAATTTAGTTTATTCAAAATGTCTGAGGTTAGATATTATCCAACTGTACTTAGCAACTTCAGCAGAAAATCTGAGCACTTTCTGAAAGTACCCAATTAATTCAAGTTGTCAGCTAAAAATTCTTGTTAATAAATTATAACCATGCATCTTTCCACATATGCTTAATTTAAAGGTCCCCAAAGGGTGGCAATTTATCTGTCATTTAAATGCTTTCTATGAGTGATCCTCTCAGTTTCCCCACACTCCAAGGCTTTTTACTTGAAGGTGGGATACGGAGATTAAACACCTTGTTCAACTAATGAAGCTTTCCCAGAATGACATAAGAATGCACAAATCTCTGTTTAGATGACGCATTAGAAGCAAAACAAGAAGCATTTGATTTGGAGAGCATTTCTAAAATTTTTATTGTTCAGTAGGAAAAGGTAGTTCTCCATATTAAACTAATAAAAATCTTTTACACACTCAAGACTCATATTCAGAATACTCCGAATTTTAATAATCTTCTTCTCAAAATCCATACATGATCTCAAAACCCCAGATATGTTTTCATATTGGTGCCAAGCTCAATAAACCAAGTCTCTGCATATGACTATATTCTTAAAAACAGGCTATTAAAATCACACGATGCCTGTAAACTGGAGCGGATATAACCTAAATTAAAAAAAGACAGCGCAGTGAGACATTTTCAAATCTACTTACAGTTCATACGGTCCAACTCCCCCGTGGTCCATGCTTTCATTTAACTGACCCTGAAAAACATGTTAAAGTTTTAAAAATAAATAACCCCATAAACAAGAAATTTAACAATTTAATGCTTCACCCCATTACTCAAGGAGAATGAATGAAAGAAATCAGCTTACAAATTCTCAACACTTTATTAACAGGTAAATGTGGTGATGAACAAAGCACAGCACACAAACAGTATTAAGGGGATTTCACTTTTAATTTTATGTGACAACTAAGCTATAGATGCTACTCATCAATGATCTACAAACAAAACCAGGCGACTTCTCCTTCGAAAATTACATGTATTCAAAATATGTATTCTGTATTTTATGAAACTAAAGGTACTGCATTCTGAGTTAATCAAATGACTTATAAAAAGTTATTCTGACATGCTTTTGACAATAAGACTAACATAATGCTAGAAACCTTATGTAACTGCAACCTAACTAAGCTTAAGGTTACCACAGTCATTCTAAGATATTGTCATGAATGATATGGCTGATCAAAGCAAAACAGTTAAGCCACACTCTCAAATTGTGTGGAGTCATACTGGCCAAACATTCATTCTGACCATAGTATAAATGAGTGCAAAACTTAATTTAACTCTCTATTCATTAGCAAAATGAACAATTCAAAATGAAATTAAGATAACTCCACTCACAGTGACACCACTAGAATAAAACACTTAAAGAAATTTTAAAAGACCTAAATAAATCAAAAGACATTCCATGTTCATGGATCAGACAACTTAATATTGTTAAGATGGCGATGCTAAACAAATTGGTTTACAGATTCAACTCAACCTTTTAAAAACTCCTGGTCCCTTCCTTGCAGAAAGTGCCAAGCTTATCCTAAAATTCACTCAGAAAACCAAGGGCATGAGGTGGGAGTGGGTGCAAAACAATCTTGAAAAAGGAGAACAAAGTTGGGGGACTTACATGTCCTGATTTCAAAATGTACTATGAAGCAACAGCAATTAATGCAGTGCGGTACTGGCATAAGGATAGAAATATAAATCAATGACATAGAAATGAGAGGCCAGAATAAACCCTTCCATTTATGGTCAACTGATTTTTGACAAAGATGCTAAGAAAATTCAATGTGAAGGAGACTTGTTTCAATAAATGACAGTTCGGGACAATTGCATATCCACATGCGAAGATTTACTTTGGATCCTTACCATCACACCATGCGTAAAAATGGGTCACAGACCTAAATGTTAAGAACTAAAACCATAAACCATAAAATTCTTAGAAGAACTAGGAAGAGAGTAAATCTTCACAATCCATAAAATAAGAACATATAAAGAACTTCTACAACTCAATAATAAAAAAAATAAGCAACACACTTCAAAAAAAATAGGTTAGGATCTGAACAGGCATTTCCATAAAGAAGGTAAGTGGCCAAAAGTCACATGAAAGTATGTTCAGTATCATGAGGCCTTAGGGAAGTGCAAGCCAAAACTATATTGAGATGTCACTTCATATCAACTAGGATAGCTACAATTAAAAAGACAAAAAAAACACAAAGAAACCCCCAAGTTTGGCAAGGATGCAGAGAAACTGTAACCCTCATACACTGCTGACAGCAATGTAAAATGGTATAACCACTTTGGAAAAGTTAGGCAGTTTCTTCAAAAATTAAACATAGACTTACCATATGATCCAGCAAATCTATTCCTTGGTATCTACCCAAGAGAAATGAAAATAACATGTTCCACAAAGACTCAGGCATAAATGTTCATAGCAGCATTATTTACAATAGCCCCCAAATGGAAACGACTCAAATGAACATCAACTAGTGAAATGATAAATGTTGTGGACCCTGACAATGGAATACTATCTGGCTATAAAAAGGAATGAAACACTGATATATCCTACAACAAAGTGAAAGTAAAGTGAATGTGAAGTCGCTCAGTCGTGTCTGACTCTTTGTGACCCCATGGGCTGCAGCCCACCAGGCTCCTCTGTCCTGGGATTTCCCAGGCAAGAGTACTGGAGTGGGTTGCCATTTCCTTCTCCAGGGGATCTTTCTGACCCAGGGATCGAACCCGGGTCTCCCGAATTGTAGGCAGACGCTTTACCGTCTGTGCTACCAGGAAAGCCCGATACTGATACTGACTACAACAAAGATGATCCTTAAATCAGTAACTTACATGAAAGAAGCCAAACACCAAAGGCCACATATTATATAAGTCCACTTCCATGGGCGCTCCAGAAAAGGCAAATTTACAGGTATGGGAAGTAGACGACTGGCTGCTGAGGGCTGGGGATGGCAGTGAGGAGAGACTGTGAATGGGTCCCGAATTTCTGTCTAAGGCGACAGAAATGTGCTAAAACTAAATTATGGTGATGGCTGTATAACTCTATCAATATACTAAAAGTCACTGAACTCTAAAATATAACCTGGCAGCAGAAACTCAGTTATTAGTATTATAAATATAGCTTTAAAATGAGTATTCTTAAATACAGTCTGATTATGAACTCTCAATTTCTATCACAGGCACTAAAAAAATTAGAAGTTTTAGAAGTTTTTATTACGAATTTTGGAATAATTCAATAAATATTTAGGTGAACTCATCTTTCTTCAAAGATACCAGTACACAGTCAATGATACACAAAGAAAACAGACAGTATTCTTACACAATGAGGTCAAATGCCCTCTCAAAACAAGTGTTTTAGTCAGAACTTGCTCACGGTGTAAACAACTCAGGATGAAGTCTAACACCAAGGATATATATCTCATGATTAGATCCAAGCAAATGGGGTAGAGGGTGGGGGGGGGGGTGTGGTATCAAGGGAAAAAAATACTTGCAGTTTCAACTTGATACAGCTTCTTTTGTGTGGGAGGGGCAGGCAGGGGTGGTTATAGTTAAAGGATTTTGTTTGGGGGGTCTCTGGTGCTTCATACAATCACCTATGATGACTTCACTTTAAAGACAAAAGGCTAACTTCAATAAAATTGGTATTATATAATTGTTTTATCTTTAATATTCACTTTACTTAATTCTAAATTAAAGACTACAGAGTAATTAACACTGAACTATGACTTTGAAGCCACCTAGAAAGAAGCCACATGCCCTGCGGCTATGTTTCATTTCCGGAGTCAGCCAGGCCTGTCTTACCACCTGCATCTGGGCTTAGAACTTCCTACCGTTACCTCTGGAGCACAAGCATTTTGAGGCACAATTTTTTTCTGCTACTCAATGGTATCTAGATGTCTAACACCAGAAACACCAAGCTATTCTGCAGGACATACTGACGGTTATCCTTCACAGGAAACTTTACTCAGATTTTTTTTTCTGCCTTAAGCTTTATGACCCATCTAATGTTTTTTGTGTATGTGTCACTACAATTAACAAAGTAGAATTCTCATTGTGGCTCAGGGGTGAAGAATCCTCCTGCCAATGCAGGAGACGCATGTTCAATCCCTGGATGGGAAGATCCCCTTGAGGAGAAAATGGCAACCCACTCCAGCATTCTTATCTGGAGAATTCCATGGAAGCAGGAGCCGGGCGGGCTGCAGTCCATGGGGTCAAAAAAGAGCTGGACGCAGGACTTAGTGACTAAACAATAAGGTACTGTACAAGATAACTGTTTCAAACTAGCCTATCAGAATGACTATTTGCAAAGTTTTAAATTAAAATTAGATATAAATTCAAGTTAATATGCCTTAAGTCTCAATTTTATAAAAATTTAAATAAACTGTTAAAAAAATCTAAATAAATTGTTACAGAATGGGTGAGAAATGTCCTTAATCTAAATAGTCATTTAATCATTTATCCACTTGCCTGGCTGTTCAAAGATATTTCCTTATAAAATAAGGTTCAGTAATCTCAGGGAAAGAAGTAAATCTGGCCTCAAATACTGGGCTATTTAAAAGTACATTATAGTAAGTATCTAATAAAATGCAAGATATTGAGATATTAATAATCATGAACATCTGAATACATACTATCTATATAGCACTATTTTTCAAAACACTAAAAATTTTAAAAACTTTTTGCTCAATAAAAATCTACTTAACCCAACTGAAATTCAGGAGTAAGTCTATTTCAAATTTTGAACTAGCAGAGTAAAAATTCATGATTTTTTTAAGTTGTATTAACAATTTTCATTTACTCTTTTAACCTGTGTCTTCACAGAAAGCAGAGGTTTCCAACATTTTCATAATCTAATGAAAATTTCTAAAGGAAAACCTTCCCTTAGTTTCAACTCTGTTCCCAAATTATATTATCACCAATGAAACAGAAAAACAAAAACCCTTTCAACCACTGGTTTTAATATAGTATTTAAAATTCACTAATTCTCATCTTTTAGTCACTGAAAAATTAACTGTGCTATGTAAATACATCTATTTACTATAAATACATGTATTTACTAATACAGGTTCACTCAGTGTAACATACCTAAAAAGCAGGTATCTCTAGAACTTCCCTGGTGGTCCAGTGGTTAAGAATCTGCCTGCCAATGCAGGGGACCCAAGTGCAATCCCTGGTCTGGGAAGAGTCCACATGCTACATGGCAACTAAGGCCACACGCCACAGCCACCGAAGCCCTGTGCCCCGAGCCCGTGGTCCACAACAAAAGCAGCCACCGCACCGCGCCTAGAGAGCAGCGCTTGCCTTCACAGCTAGGGAAAGCCCGCACGCAGCAGCAAAGACCCAGCATGACCAAAACCAAAAAAATTCAAAAGGGGGGGAAAATTCAAAAGGGGGGGGATGTATTTCTAAATAGGACCACCGACAAAGAGAAAGAAAGCAAGGAAGGAAATAGATGCCTGTTCTAAAAATGCAGTACCCCTAGTATAACTGCATTTATTATTGTCTTTATGTGTAGATGAGGTAAACTTGAATGATTGGTTCCTTGGCAATCAGTTAACGCTGACAAGCTCTATTTCCATAAACCAGCTCACTACATAATGTGCCAGGATATTTTGAGAGTACTTGATATACTCTATCTCATATAATCTTTAGTTTATGGAGAAGAAAAGTCTTTTTTTCTGAGTCTTTAGTCTGAGAGATTAAGCAATTTATTTGAGATCTTGCAATCAGTGAGCGTGGCTGGAAGGATCTGAATTCACTCTGACATACCACAAACAGGTACATCACCGACAAGACTAGTACATGCAGTGGAGAAGCTGTGCAATGAAGCTTACTGAACTGCATCAGAAGATACTACCACTAGTTATCTCTGTGGTCTTGGGCAACCATATCCCTGGTTGATGCCTCAGTTTCTTTTCTATAAAATGAGGATGTGAGGCTACTCTGATATGCACCAATGTTTTAAAAGCTTGTGTGCTAAAGGATGGGTGGGTGCGTCCCCAGTGGCTCAGGGATAAAGAATCCGCCTGCAATACAGGAGACGCAGAAGACTTGGGTTAGATCCCTGGGTTGAGAAGATCCCCTGAAGGAGGAAATTGGCAGGATTTCTTGCCTGGGAATCCTGTGGACAGAGAAGCCTGGTGGGCTACAGTCCACAGCGTCACCAAGAGTTGGACACGACTGAGCACCTGATGGATGGACACTCTAAAGGATATAAATTCACAAATAGACAGGATTCTAATTATATTATTAGAAATTCACAGTAGTCAGATTTTCTAAGAATCTAAATTTCTCTCATTTTTCAGAATTTTAAAACCTATAGAGAAACCTAGATGTCACTGAATCTCCTTGGGTGGTCAACCCAATTCCATTCCCACTCTTTGCTTGTTCATCTTGCATCTCTTTGAACAAAACACTCAAAAGAAGCATTTTCAACTCCAAAAGCATTGCTACGTTAGATATATTTTGTTGAAGCCTCTTCCTCAAAATCCTCTTTAATTATCTTTATAATTAAAGCTCCTCTCCCTAGGGTAGTAGTCATATTTCCTCCTCTTTCCTATTTCCACCAATTTCTCTGGCCCCCTCTTCCACACCTGCTCAAAATCCTATTTGCCTGCACCCAGAAGAACAAACATCCGAGAGGGATCCTGGTTCATAGCAAGAATCTTAATACAGTATTTTACTTTCAGCTAATAAATCCAAAGTCTGGAAATTCTATCAGTTCAACTGGTGAAGATTTCACTGATACAAAGCACCCTTCTTATCATTCCTCCCCTGCTTCGCCCCCAAGCCACGGCCATATGGAGCCAATATAACTGACGAGAGTATGTTACATGTAATGAAAGTAATCCCACATTTGTTCCATTAAGAAGCTAACTGAAATTCCATACGCAAGCATACTGAAAAATATACATTGGGGAATTCCCTAGAGGTCCAGTGGTTAGGATTTGGCACTTTCACTGCCAGGGTTTGGGTTCAACCCCTGGTTGGGGAACTAAGATTCCACTAGCTATGCTGTGCAGCCACCAAAAAAAAAAAAAAAAGGTATATATCTCAATACCCACCTTCCACACTGCCCACACTGCCTGATTTTGATTTAGACTCAACTGATAAGCAGAGCATTTCTGTTCTATAAAACCTATTTTCCTACAGTATTTAACGTATACAGCATCTTCTGTCAACAAGCAGGAAACAGCTAACTTGCCAGAGGGAGGCGATAGGGTGGGGGAAAAAAAGGGAGGCCCCTTTTGTAGTTAGAGCAAACATCTGACTTAAGTCATAAACCCATGTACTCATCTAGACAATAGAATTTACAATCTAAATTACCATGAGGTTATCACTGATGGTCGTTTACCCCAGAATCAGTGATTTAGCATGACAACACTATTTGTCAACGTCAGGTACAACTTGTGATTTTGCAATAAATTTATCTGGAATAAAGAATAACTAAGATGGCAAAGGTAAAACCGAGCTATGCATTTAGGAAAAACAATTCTAAATTTAGCACCCTAAATTACAGCAAGGAAAGCCCTCACACCACCATTCACAAGTCTCAGTTCAAGCAATTTATTTTTGGCAAGCCAAATCACAGCTGTCAACGTTGGTTTTTTTCCACCCCGAAATTACATCAAGTATTTCGAAAAAAATATAGACATCTGCAACTAAGGGAAAAGTAAGTTACAAATGCCGTGTGTCGTTATAAATTATTTTTTAGTCACACGGAAGGGGTTTTTAAAATTAAAAAAAAAAAAAAGCAAACAAACAAACCCTGGAAGATGCAGCAGAGCCCCCTTGCTCCCGAAATAAAACTCCTGGTGGCTGTAACTGCAGCGGCAGCGCTACTCCCGACAGAAGTTTTCAGCTGTCACTTCTAACAGCTGAGCGCTTCCTAGGAGAGAAGCGACAGGCCGAGAAGAGAGGTGGTTGTGGGACGTCTGAAGACGCAACACTTGAGATCTTACAGTCGAAGGGACACCCTTCCGCGCTTCACCTGCACTTATGGGACACCCAGCAAACGCAGTCCCCCTCCCCCCCCCCCCGCACACGCACACGCTTGCAGCACGCGCGCCCCGCACACTCAGGTCCCGGGGCTCCGGGCAAGTCCGCCGCGCGCGCCCTTCCCCGTCCCCTCCACGGGCTGCTCCCGGCTGCGCTCATCCGGGGCGAGGGGCGCGATCGGCACCTGCAAGCCCAGCAGCGGCCTCACACCTGAGGACCAGGTCCTCCCCGCCCGCTGCCCCGCTCCGGGCCGCGCGGCGCCTCGGCTCCTCCTGGGTCTCCGGGAACGACTCGCACCCCCGCCCCCGGGTGTCCGCGCCCTCCGACGCGCCGGGCTTTCCCCGGCCCGCGCCGCCGCCCCGGCCCTGTCACCTCGGGCGCCCCCCCACCCCACCCCCGGGGACCCCGGGCCTCACCCCCTCCTCCAGCTCATCCTCAGAGCCCGCGTCCTCCGGCTGGTCCAGATCTATGTCAAACACCCCTGCCATGTCCTCAGCTTCCCTGTCTCGGAAGTCCGGCGCTGGGTAGAAACCGTCCCGCCTCCGTCGTCGCCTCATGGGCCCGGACCCGCCGCAGCCACTGCCGCCGCTGCCGCCATCACCGGCCGCTGGGGCTCAGTGCGTCTGCGCCTAGGCCCCAGACTGGCTCCTCAAGTTCGGCACCGAGGCATGCGCACAGGACTCCGTGAAGCCGAGCTTGGGCAACGGACATGCGCAGTGCCGCCGCCTGGGCCAGGTACTGGCGGAAGCATGCGCAGAAACGCTTCCGAAGCCTCGCTTGGAAGCTAGATCATGCGCAGAGTCAGCTAAAGCCCGATGGACAGTGAGCATGCGTGCCGTGTCTGAAGTTGATAAATTGAACTTGCGTAATTAACCTTTCTGAATGGGGGCGGGCCAGAAAACCACAGCAAATCTGCTCGTATGTGGAACATGCGCATTCGTTCTCTGTAGTTTTTTCGGTATCGAAAGTGAGCCTGCGCATTAGGAAAATGTTGCCCCCGTGAAGTTTGAACCGGGCAGAAACGGCTGGTCCTGGGGTTGCCAGTGAGTGGGGTTAATGTGGAGCTCCTGGGGAGGTGTAGAAAGGCAGAACTTGACTGCTCTTTACCAGCTCAGTGGCCTTGCGAAAGTCACTGACCTTTCACAGCCTCGGTTTCCTTATCTATAAAATAAAAATGATACCAATTTTGCAGAGTTGTTTGATGATTTTAAGTACAGAGTCTGGCTTAGAAGCCACGGCTCCTTCCAATGCTGCATAGACCCCGTGGTAAGGTCTTTACCAAAAACTGCCTCTTTTCATTGTTAAATAGTGGTTACTTGCTCTACTATTTCTCCTTTTTTCCCCTCCAAGCCTCGTCTTCCTTGCTGTCTTATCTGAGCTAATTACAAAGAGTTTCTTGTAAGTGTTATGTATTTACCAGTACAGAAAGTTGATTGGCGGAGAGAGAAAGTAATTATTTATTTAGAAGCGAGAAAATTAATGTTAATTAAATGTGCTACCGTTGAACTCACCTCTGCATTTTCTATGTCCCTTTGGTGTGAAGTGGATACTATGAATTACTTCAATCAGAATTCACTTTGTTTTGTTTGTTTTAAACACCATGCTTAGAAAATTGCGATTACACGTGAGATTTTGGAAACTATTGGGCTGTGTATGAATGGATTTGGGTACAGCAGTCCCAAATCCCAAAACCATATAGAGAAAAAGAACAGTTTCCTTGAATGATTGGCTCCTTAAACAACGTAGCTATTTTGTCTATATATAGTATTTGCAAATTATATATTTTTATTGATGTGTGTTAACATATTTTGTTCTTTGTTAGTAATGTGCTGGTTCTCTAAGACCATGTTTTTTCTATTACAGGTTCCTCGATTTTTCGAAGAAGTTTGTTTTGGTTTGTCTCTCAGCATGTCAATAGTAACAGTGCAGCTTGGTCAGTGTGGCAATCAGATTGGTTTTGAAGTGTTTGATGCTTTATTTAATGACTCACACTGTCCTGGAGGACTCTGCTCTAAAAGGGAGAATGAGGCATATCAAGCATCTTGCAAAGAAAGGTTCTTCAGTGAGGAGGAAAATGGAGGTATGTGTGGTCCATATAACCAATCTCTTCAAGGCCAGGCCCTGCACATGGCGTCTGAATCCCCTCCATCTTGCAGCAGAATGATTTTGTTCTCAACCCTTTGTTTTTGTGTTAAGCTTTCCTTCTCCAGTGACATCTTGTCCTCAGGCCATGAGCTTGCTCAGATCTTGCCAATCTAAACCCAACCAACCAAATAAAACTTAGCTCTTGACTGTAGCTTTTTTCCTTCCTTCTCATCTAAGATTCTCAAAGGAGAACCCTCTTTACCAATTATAATCCTGCTTCTGCTTTACAATACCACTGAAGCTGTCCCATGAAAAATTCCCAGTGATCTCCTAATTACTAGAGCCAGTAACTGTTTTTCTTTTTGTTAATTCACTTAACTTCTCTACCAGATTTGATAACATTAGCTATAAAACTCCCTCCTTGAGACTAATTTTTCTTAGTCACTGAACTTTTCTTTTCTAGTGGTTGCATCTCAGCGTCTTCCTCACTTGTATAGTTCTCTCTGGGCAAGTTCAGTGACTCTCAAATGTTGCTCCATCTTTTACACAGGTTACTGTCAAATCTGTAGCCTAGCATCTCTTCCAAGCCGCAGACTGATTAGTGAACATCACCTGTGTCTCTCGTGTACCTCAGACTCAACATCTCCATACCCAAGGGCATGCATTGTTTTTCCCTTAAAACTTTGTTTTTCCTGCCCACATTCAGATCTGCTTAGTTTATCTCCTACATGTCCCTTGAAACTCCTCTCCCCTTTCCATCTTCGCTGTCATTGCCTTAGTTCTGGCTCTTGTCCTTCCTCATCTGGATTGTTTCAAGACACTCCTTCTGAGTTTCCCTGCCTGGTCTCTTGTGTCTGTTGCATCTGTCCTCCACACTGCTGTATTCAGAAAGACATCTGAGGGACTTCCCTGCTGGTCCAGTGGTTAAAACTTTACACTTCTACTGCAGGGAGTGCCAGTTCTATCCTTGGTTGGGAAACTACAATCCCACATGCCTTGCTTACTTACTTAACAAGAAGTACTTAACTTAAACTTACTTAACAATAAGTAAAGAAATAAATGTAGTAAAAAGCTGTTTAAAAAATAATAAAGACATCTGACATTTTAAAAAAAGACATATGACTATTCCTTTCGTACTTGAATGTTTTCAGTGGTTCCTCATTGCCTGAAAAACAAGTTTCAAGGTTTTTAGCATTGTATGTTAGGACTTATGATATCTGAGCCCTGCCTGCTTTCCATCCTGTCCATCATTTCCTACACCCCCTCCTTTCTCCATCTTCTGCTTCAATAATCCTGAGATGCTTTTTGTGCCCTTGATATTTTGTACTTCTGAATATGCTCCTCTCTTAGTGTGAATTTGTTCTGGGTCCTATCACATCACTTCATGATTAAATGTTGATGTGTTTTACTTCCCTCCCTGCTTCTCCTTGGGCTGCATTGATACTGTCTTCATCTGTGTGTTTTTAGCATAGTACATAGCACATTACAAGCACTCAACAGATGTTTGTCAACTTGACCCAGTCATCATTTTAGCCCATATTTATTCACCCTGCCCAGCAGAATGCTGGGCACTGTGAACCATCTGCATATCCCTGCTGCTGCCCACCTCAGTTTCTAAGCAGAATGGCAGATCTTTCTATTCTCAGTCTTTGCATTTTTTAATTTTTTTAATTTAGAGAAGTGTATGCTCTGAGTTACCCCAAATAAGATTATATGCATTATTTTTCTTTTGATATTTTTTTCCCTCTCTAGTTCCAGTTGCTCGTGCTGTCCTTGTTGACATGGAACGTAAGGTTATCAGTCAAACACTGTCAAAAGCTGCCCGTTCTGGCCGGTGGAAATATGGCCAGCATTCATGCTTCTGTCAAAAACAAGGTTCCGGAAACAACTGGGCCTATGGGTAAGAATAATTCCTCAAGCTTTCCAGTTTAGATACAGCTGCGCAGTTGATTAATAGTGTAGTTATAACTGCACAGTTGATGTATTAAACGTTGTTCTTTAGCCACTTAATTGTGTCTGACTCTTTCGCAACCCCGTGGATGGTAGCCCACCAGGTTCCTCTGTCTATGGGATTTCCCAGGCAGAAATACTGGAGTAGGTTGGAATAACAGACTGGTTCCAAATCAACAAAAGAGTTTGTCGAGGCTGTATGTTGTCACTGTGCTTATTTATATGCAGAGTACATCATGTGAAATTGCGGGTTGGATGAAGCACAAGCTGGAATCAAGATTGCTGGGAGAAATATCAATAACCCAGATATGCAGATGACACCATCCATTTGGCAGAAAGCAAAGAAGAACTAAAGAGCCTCTTGATGAAAGTGAAAGAGGACAGTGAAAAAGTTGGTTTAAAACTCAACATTCAGAAAACTAAAATCATGGCATCTGGTCCCATCACTTAATGGCAAATAGATGGGGAAACAGTGGAAACAGTGAGAGACTTTATTTTCTTGGGCTCCAAAATCACTGCAGATGCTGACTGCAGCCATGAAATTAAAAGACGCCTGCTCCTTGGAAGAAAAGTTATGACCAACCTAGACAGCATATTAAAAAGCAGAAACATTACGTTACCAACAAAGGTCTGTCTAGTCAAAGCTATGGTTTTTCCAGTAGTCATGTATGGATGTTAAAGTTGGACTATAAAGAAAGCCGAGCACTGAAGAATTGATGCTTTTGAATTGTAGTGTTGGAGAAGACTCTTGAGAGTCCCTTGGACTCCAAGGAGATCCAACCAGTCCATCCTAAAGGAAATCAGTCCTGAATATTCATTGGAAGGACTGATGTTGAAGCTGAAACTCCAAGAATTTAGCCACCTGATGCCAAGAACTGACTCATTGGAAAAGACCCTGAGGCTCAGAAAGATTGAAGGTGGGAGGAGAAGGGGATGACAGAGTATGAGATGGTTGGATGGCATCACCGACTTGATGGACATGAGTTTGAGGAAATCCGGGAGTTGGTGATGGACAGGGAAGTCTGGCATGCGGCAATCCATGGGGTTGCAAAGAGTCAGACACGACTGAGTGACTGAACTGAATGGAACTGAATCTTTAGAACAACCTGGTAATTCTAGCCAAAGGAATAGCCTATTAAAGAGAATTATCTATGCCCAGTAAATATACTCTCCTAACAGTCCTATTCACTTTTAAAAAATGTTTGACTTGCATATCTTATTATTTTCTTCTTCTATTTTTTCATTTTTTGTGTGTGTGCATCTTATTATTGTTGTTATCTTTAGGCCATTCTCCTTTGCATGCAAGATCTTAGTTCTCCAACCAGGGATCCAACCTGTACCCCCTACTTTGGGAGCACAGAATCTTAACCACTGGACTACCAAGGAAGTCCCCTTAACTTGTGTATATAAAATTTGGTCTCTCGGGGTACCTGTATGTCTCGTGAGAGGTAGTTCACTTACATAGGTTTAGAAAGCCTTCTCTCTCCTGTACCTTTCTCTGCAATCCATCTCTCTGGTTAAATTGAAAGATGTTTGTTTTGCACTGCATAGATACTCTGTTCATGGACCCAGGCATAAAGAATCTATAATGAACCTAATCCAGAAGGAAGTGGAGAAATGCGATTCTTTGAGTGGCTTTTTCATCATAATGAGTATGGCTGGAGGCACCGGATCCGGGCTAGGAGCCTTCGTTACTCAGAACTTACAAGATCAGTACTCAAGTGCTTTGAAAATGAATCAGATTATATGGCCTTATGGAACTGGTGAGGTATGAACGTATCAATTAAAAATTTTCTTTGTTCTTTGCAGTTAAAACAAATGTATGTAAAAGATCTATCTCATCCTTTCTTTGGAAATGTTAAGTTATTGTGTCAGGAGTGAGTATACAGTATGGTACTTTCATAAACAATTCGTGTAACTTTGTTTAAACTTTCCCAAGCAAATGAGGTGTCCTTATTCATAAATATTCCAAAGAAGAAAACTGTGCATCTTCTCTCAGAAACCCATTCCTGGGTCAGTCCCTCTGGCTACTGCTGGTAAAGCAGGGACCTTGGCCTCATCCTGCCATTGCCAACCTTCAAAGAATTTTCATTTCTTTCCATTGAAAGGAATTTCTATGTAGGCCAATTTGCCGTAGATCAGCCTAGTAGGAGAAATAATAAAACGGAGATGAAATAAGTCACAGGAGGAAATGATGTAGAAAGTATGATAGTAATAGTGATAGTATAGTCATCGTTTACTGAAGCCTTACTATACACAGGGCACCATTCTAAGTGCTTTACTGGTATTCTGTCATTAATTCTTATAACTCTTAAGAGGCTGGTATAATTATTATCCCCATTTTACAAATGAGGAAACTGAGACATAGATTATGTAACTTATCTAAGATCATATAGCTGGAAAGTGGAAGAGCCAGGATTTGAACCTAGGTAGGATGTCCTCTTTGGAGAAGGCAATGGCACCCCACTCCAGTATTCTTGCCTGGAAAATCCCATGGATAGAGGAGCCTGGTAGGCTGCAGTCCATGGGGTCGCGAAGAGTTGGACACGACTGAGCGACTTCACTTTCACGCGTTGGAGAAGGAAATGGCAACCCACTGCAGTGTTCTTGCCTGGAGGATCCCAGGGATGGTGGAGCCTGGTGGGCTGCCGTCTATGGGGTCACACCAAATCAGACACGACTAAAGCGACTTAGCAGCAGAATGCCCTCTTAACTGCTATTCTCTCCTACGTTTTTTTCTTTTTTTTTTTCAGTATTTATTAATTTGGCTGCTCCAGATCTTAGCTGTGGCCAAGCATGTGGGATCTAGTTCCCTGACCAGGGCTCGAACCCTGGCCCCCCGCATTGAGAACGTGGAGTCTTAGCCAGTGGACTACCAGGGAAATCCTCCTCCTACCTTTCTTATTTGTGGCCTTTTCCTCTCCAGGTTATTGTTCAGAACTACAACTCCATTTTGACACTTTCTCACTTGTACCGATCTTCAGACGCCCTCCTTGTTCATGAGAATGATGCTGTTCATAAGATCTGTGCGAAGCTGATGAATATCAAGCAGATCTCCTTCTGTGATATAAATCAAGTCCTCGCACATCAGCTAGGAAGTGTGTTCCAGCCTACTTACTCCAGGGAAGGCTCATTTCACTACAGGAGAAATCCACTAGGTATTTGTGCCCCTGTGGGTTATTTGTAGAGAAGTCTGATGTTGTGAAAGCCTCAAAGCTGTTCTTCTCTGGCTCTCCCCTCTACCTGAAGATACACTCACATCTCCCTCATTTCAGAACCTTCCACTGATTCCATTCTTCAGGACCCTTTCTCTTCTTTTTCTTTTTCTTTTCTTCCCTATTTTAAAAAATAACTGAGATATAATTCACATACCATACAACTCACCCATTTAAAATACACACTTCAGTGTTTTCAAACATATTCACAGAGTGGCACAACCATCATTTTCATCACTCTGTAATAAAACCCACCACTCTTTTTTCGGCTTATTTGTCAAGTGGTGCTTTATCCATTCAAACCATCCAGATGCAAAGGACCCGGGAATCTATACCTCTCAGTCCTACCCTCTTTCCCAAATAGTTGCCTATCCCAATTTTCTTAGTTGCATCTGCTTCTTCAAATTGAACATGCTATGAACGGACTCATCATTTTTCGCCGGCTTGCCTCCCCTCCCGCACTTCCCCCATTCTTGTCGCCTGAATTTCTCCCCCTGTCCTCTTATCTCATCATATGCTCAGACCTGTTGGTGCCCTCTCTCCCAGCTGTCTGCATTCTTTCCCGCTTCCCTGTCTCTCTGACATTGGTTCACTTGGTCAGCATCTCTTAACTGATACTGCATGCTCCCCCTGAATACAAAGTTCTTTTTATTCTCAATCTCTGCCTCTCTCTCTTTCTCTCTGTCTCTGTTTCATAAAAACAGAAGCTCGCAGCCACATGGACATCCCTGGCTTAAGGTGGTCCTAACCCTGCTTCCCTTCCTGTTGCCTGCCTCCCCCCCACCCCCCCACCCCGGCATCAGTCCACCTCACACACTGACCCCAGTGAGGCTCCCCAAGGCACGGATCTAACCTTGTATTCTACTCAACCCTCATTCTGCGGCTCACGCATCACCTGCTGGATTTGCCCTAATTCCTTAGCCTGGCCTCCGCATTCTGCCCTGAGTCTTAACTTTCCATTTTCGTCACCTTCTGCCTCCTCTGCATAGATTCCGCACTTGCTTTTTATCCCGTCTCCACTTCTGTCTTCAGTCTGGAACTTTCCTGCTTTGGTCCTTTGGCTCAGGGTTTCCTCTTTAAAAATCACTTCCTGCTTCCCTCCACCTCTACTGAAACCTTACTCATCCTTTAGGATCCAATTCAAGTGATAATTTTTTTTTCTTTTCTACTGTTTATTTAGCTGCCCCGGGTCTTAGTTGAGGCATGCAGGATCTTTAGTGCAGTTCCCTGGCTGGGAACTGAACCCCAACTCCCTGCATTGGGAGTGTGGAGTCTTAGCCACTAGACCACCAGGGAAGTCCCAAGTGACAATTTTTCATAAAGCTTTTCTACTGAGACCTTTACCTAAAGTAACCCTCCACCTCTGAACTCCTGTGTGTGCATGCTCACGTCAGTCATATCCAACTCTTTGCGACCCTATGGACTGCAGCCCGCCAGGCTCCTCTGTCCATGGGGTTCTCTAGGCACGAATACTGGAGTGGGTTGCCAAGCCCTCCTCTAGGAGATCTTCCTGACCCAGGGATCGAACCCACATCTCTTATATCTTCTGCATTGGCAGGCAAGTTCTTTACCACTGTACTCTATTCTGTACCTCTTTTATGTTACTTACTGTTTTTTGCCTTTATTATTTCTTTAAGTGTGTTTGCTTATCTTTAAGAGTTACAGACACACACACACATGTTTATTCAAGGAGTACAAAAGAATATGCAATCAAAAGAAAGTCACCCGCTGACTCCTCCCAGATGCTGCCACTGTAATTAGCGTCATGTGTTTCCTTGGAGGAGTCCGTCACGTGCATGTCTTGTAGTCCCCACTAATTTGCAACTTCCTTGGCGACATGTGTCTTGTTCATTTCTGTGCATTCCACAGTACTTACCATATGGCACATCTGTTCATTCAACCAGTATTTACTGACTTCCTGCTATGTGCCAGACACTATGCTAAATGTTGGGGATCCAGTGAGGAACCAATGTAGACGTTGTGTTCACACTAAACAATTATGCCAAGAAGGTGTAATTAAAAACTGAGTTAAGTGCTCTGAAGGAAAGGAGTACAGACCCAAGAGAATGTGTCACGAAGGAACCAGACTCAGGCTGATGAGGCAAAGAAGTCAGCCCTTGAGGAAGTTAACACTTGAGCACAAAGCTGAATGAAGACTTGGAGTTAACTAAGCCAAGGGAGGAAGACAGGAATAGCACGTGCAAAGGCCCTGTGGCAGAAGGAAACAGGGCCCTTTAAGAACAGAGAGAAATCCAGCGTCACTGGAGCACAGAAAATGGTGCAGGGGATGACTGACACCTGAGGCTCGGGCAGCGAGCAGGGGCCGACCTGGGAGGTCCCTGTAAGCATGTGAAGGCCACCTCATTAGTCTAAGAGCAGGGGATTTTAAGGAGGTTGTTGGCATGATCACCTTGTGAAAAATCCGCTGGACTGCCTGTGAAGAGCTGATTGGAAGCCATCTTCACAGGTGGCCATCTTCTCACTGTGTCCTCACATGGCACAAGGGACAAGAGACCTCTCTGGGGTCTCTTTCATAAAGAGGCTTCACCTCCCAAAGGCCCCATCGCCTCCTTAAAGCCATCACCTTGGAGGGAAGGATTTCAGTTTGGGAATTTGTGGGGACACAAATTGTCCCCACAAGAATGGCCAAGAATGGTTGAGATGAGACTAGGTGAACAAGAAAGCTGGAGGGAAACGCAGATTTTTAACAATCTATACATTAGAATTCAGGAATTATTTGCTGATTGTTTTTTGTTGTACGTGCTATGTGATAGAATTCAGCTCTAGCTACTTTACAGAAAAGGCTTCTTATATTTAGAGGAAATGCCACTAGCCATAAGATCGATTTGTGCAACATTTTATAGATGTTTGCGTCAGAATTTGTTCTTAACATTAGGACATAGGCTATGAGTTTGCATTCCACGTTATCATAAAATTTATTCTTTAGTATTATTTCTTTATGTGGCTCTGCAGGCTGTTAGTTGTGGCACGCAGAATGTTCGATCTTCATTGTGGCACGTGGGATCTTTAGTTGCCGCATGTGGGATCAAGTTTGCTGACCAGGGGTTAAACCCAGTTCCCCTGCACTGGGAGATGGAGTCTTAGCCACTGGACCACCAGGGAAGTCCCCATAAGATTTAAATTTCATGTTATGGTAAAAGATTTTTCTTTCTCCTTTAGAAAAGAGTATTTTCTATAAATATATAAAATATATATATGATACATTAAAAAGATAAAAACATTTTTAAAATAAGTAAGCTCTGAGTGAAAAACAAAGTAACCTTTCTTCTTCATTCTCTTTCATTACAAGTATAAGGTTCTAAAGATAGACATATTCCTGTATTCAAGAATTACTAATCCTCTCTTCTTTCCAAGTAGAGTTTAATGTTAAGAGGTTCTGATTATCATTTAACCAAATAAATAAGAGATCTAAGAAAATTTCTAAGGGGGCATTTAGCGAACACAGAATGACAATAAAATTATATTACCTCTAATGCTTACTTTGTTTTCCTGAGGTTTAGCTAAATATTTCATTCACATTTCCCAGTTCTTAACTAAAAAAAATTATTGTTTCCTTTTGGCAAAGTGTTTTTTTTCATTCATGCTAAAATAGGTGCCAAAACCAAGCATTAGTTGATTAAGCATTAGCATTAGTCAAGCATTCATACATATTGTCTCTGAAATTGAATTTATGTTTTGAAATTTAAGCATTTTTAGCCTTGGAGGAGAAAACACATTTGGTCCCCGCGAGCCATCCACTCATGGTTGTATATGAGCCAGCGGAAATAACATGGAATTTAAGAATTGAGTTCAGATTTTTTTTCTTTGCAGGAGACTTAATGGAGAACTTAGTTCCCCATCCAGAATTCAAGATGCTGGGTGTTCGTAACATTCCTCAAATGTCTGAGAATTCACTGGCATACAGCACATTTACTTGGGCTGGCCTCCTCAAGCATTTGAGACAGATGCTCATTTCTAATGCGAAAATGGAAGAAGGTAAAGGGTATTTTAAAAATATGCACCCACAAACTGGGAAAAATGCCTGTACTGAAGTTCCCAATATAAACTGGCTTGGGCCAGTTGAAATAATAGTGCCTTCTTCTAATCCGGGAAGCTCCTACAAAAACTCACCAGAATATCCTGGGAAGATTTCTTAATCACTTCACAGTTTCATTTCTCAAAAAAAAAAAAAAAATTCATATGAGTGTGACAATTATTTTTATTTTATTTTTATCTAAGTAATATATGAATATAGTTTTTTTTTTTAAATCAAGTTGTCAGAACTCATTTAAGTGTATATTTGAATCTGTACATCACATTGTATCTAAAGTACATCTTAAAATTTTTAAAAAGTCAAGTAATTGCCCAGTATGAATTTATAATGGGGAAGAGGACAGCCTATTCTCCACTTCCCCACAGCCCAGCGGGCACTGCTTTCAGTGATCTGAGATGTTCTTTCTGGAATTGGCCTCCATTTCTAAACATTTTCCTTATTCTGTTATTTGTTTTATTTTCCAGGTTTAGATAGCCTCTGCCTTCCTAGCATAAAACTGAGAATTAAATCTTCTTATACCCTCTACACACACCTTCCCTCTCGTCTCCCAGTCTAGTTAAAATAAGTTCTCAGTGTTTGTATTATTTTTGCTATGTAAATTTTATTCACAGCTGAGCCATGTACTACATACACAGATTACATTTTATTTCATGTACCGTTTATTTTTTCCTCCTAGAGTTAATAATTATTTGGTTGATACTCTTTGTACCTATTACAAATCTACCCCTAAACTCTTCCATAAAAATGAAACCCTTCTCAGCCAACCCATCAGGCAATCTTATTACTGCCACTCTCTTCTTGGCGAGGTCCCCTCCAGAGGCTGTCCCCCTTCAGTCTGCACTCGTTACTCTGCAGGCTTGAGAAGCGGCCAGCACTGGCCTCTCTGCTCCTGTATTCTAGCCCGGTTCCTAGATTCCAAATCTTCCTCTTTCTGGGCTTATTCCCTCATGCGGACTGTGCGCTCCAGGAGCTTTATAAGAAAGAGTACAAGGAAGGTGAGCATTTTAAGGCTGCAGATGTCATTATCCTGCTTTTCTCTTTGATTGATCGTTGGGCCAGGTACAGGATTTGAGGCTGGGAATCATTTTTACTCAGTGTCTTGAAAGCGTTGCTCTGTCATCTTCCAGCTTCCAGTGTTGCAGCTGAGCAGTCTCACTTCAGTCTGATTTCCAATCCTGTTTCATTCTCTCTTGTATCTTTTAGGATTTTCTCTTTGTTTCTAACATTCTGGAATTCCTTAGTGTGGATCTTTTATCTCATGACACTGTAAACTTTATGACTGCAGAGATCTTTATCAGGAGTGTTTATTGCTGTCTTTGCAGAGGTCTAGCCTTTACTGAGTAGAAACCCCCTTCCAAGATGGAGGGGGGCAGCCCGCCTACTGCAGGGGCTGGGGAAGGGTCTGGAGCTCTCACTGCTTCTCATACAGGTTTTAACTAATCCTCCCACCTCTTCCTCTTCTAGAAGCGCTTGGTCAGCTTCTAGAACCTTCACCGTGGGCAGAAGTCTCAGTGTTGGCTACGTCAGTAACCACTGGTTCCTTTGCTTTCCAGCTTCGAAAATTCTGTCACCACTATCTTCTTTCCATTTTTTTTCGTGTCTTTTAAAAAAATTCCTCTGTTAGTGAGATTTGAGGAGTAAACTGGTATGTTCAGTTCGTCACGTTTAACTGGAAGTCACTACTGTGTACAATTTTGGAAGCGTGTATTTTACCACAGATTACAATCAGTTAGGTTTCAGTACTATGAGATTGGATTTCCTCTACTTTTACTTGTAATACCTTATGGATTTTAGATCATAGTGCCTGAGGGTTGGAGATAATAGAAAGTTCACATCTGAAGTAATGCTTCAGAAACTTTTTGGCCACAGGACCTGTTTTTCTGGCAATACCTGTTATCAAGGAACACAGTGTACCTCAGGGTAGCTTATGGCGTGGGACTCTGGGCCCTTTCAGGTCAATAAACCACTGTTTGTTTAGTCATTTTCCCATATGGGAATTTAGAGTGTCAACACTTTTTCAGTTATAGATATGAATTTTGAACATTTAAGTGTTTTCCTATAAATTTTTGTCATTCATCCACTCAGTTGTGTCCGACACCTTGCAACCCCATGGACTGCAGCACGCCAGATGTTTGAGCATCTCCTGGAGCTTGCTCAAACTCATGTCCATTGAGTCAGTGATGCCATCCAACCATCTCATCCTCTGTCGTCCCCTTCTCCTCCTGCCTTCAATCTTTCCCAGCATCAGGGTCTTTTCCAATGAGTTGGCTCTTCACATCAGGTGACCAAAGTAAATATACGAATAAATGTATTTATGTCACTAACCATGTTGAAGAATATAATTTTAAAACTCCTCATGTTATCGGAATGCTCTGTGTGAAGATGGACCCCATCAGTATCACCTTCAGCAATGTATCTTTTTCCATGTCCTCAGAACAGGAAGGATGAGTGACCCAGGAAGGAGCAAGGCAGAAGTTAGTGTCTCTTATGACCTAGCTTTGGAAGCCACATACCATCATTTTGCATCATCCTTTTGGTTATTAAGGTCAACCCTGTCCCAAGGGGAGAAGACCCTGCAAGAGCCTGAATGCACAGGAGTTGATGTTGGAAGCTGGCTTCCACCCTCTGTCACCTAATGAATCGTGTCCTCCCATTTGCAGAACATACTTGACCTGTCTCAGGTCCTCCAGAGTTAGCACATCAGCCTGTTAGCACATTCCTTTAGCCCATCAGCCTAAAATTCAGAATCTTGTCATCTAAAAGCAGGTCCAGGTGTGGATTTATGTTCCTCAGGTGAGATTTCCTGAGTCGAGCTCTCTAAGTATGCCCCACTCCCTACAGACCCTGCTAGAAGTAGACACTGCTTTTCAAAAAGGGGGGCATGGAAGGAACACAGGAGTCATTGGTCCATAAGGATTCAGTAGGGTAGACGCAGGTGGTTTCTTGATCAAACCGTTAAGGCCTGGGAAGAATTTTCCACAGCTTTTTGCTTGGCCCTCTGAACCAAGCTAAATTACATTTTTACTTACTTTTAAGTTTTACTTACAGTATTTTAAAATTTTATTAGTTGGTTTATTTTTGCTAGTTTGCATTAGCGTATTCACATGAGAGTCGAAGTTCTAAGGGCATATATATGTAAACACACTTTACAAAAATAAAACTAACATCACATTATATGTATTTTTTTGTTCTCCTTTTTTCAACGTAGTATTTTGTAGCCTTTATTTCAATTCATTCATTTAGACATGCCTTGTTCTTTTTAGTAGCTGCATAGTTTTCTACCATATATGAGCCATAACTCCTTTTTTTTCTCTCCATAACTTCTTATATGTACCTAAAGAGTGAATTAATTCTGTGAAGCTGGTTGTTAAAATTTTTAGTCCATAACCTTCTTTGTCTCCTTATTAAGGTAACTGTCTCTCAAAACTCCTTTGTTTTTTCTGTTATTGTTTTTATCTATTTATTGCCATTTGTAGATTTTTTGTTTATTTATGACCTATTTACTTCCCACCATGGAGGGTTAGGATTTAGCTTTCTTCTAACACTGGACCCTAAGCCCTGAAATACCCTCTGTCTCCTCATCCTTCTGATACAGTGGTAAGTGTCATCATTGGGTTAAAGCGATACTCAGTTTTATACTATCATGATCAAGTAAATGCTGTTCACAGCTGAGCAACAGAGCATCCTATGATTACTTTTCCCTTCCTGTATAATTTTTTTTTGTTTTCTTTGGAGTTAATGATTGCCTTGTTTTCTTGTTTGCTTAGTTTTTCTATGTACCTGTCAATTATTCAGCCCTGTTTCACTACTTGTCTAAACTGTTCCTTCTTGGTATCAGGCATACCTTGTTTTATTGCACTTTGCAGATATTGTGTTCTTTGGCAGATTGGAGGTTTGTGGCCACCCTTCATCTAGCAAATCTGTTGGCACCATTTTTCCAGCAGCGTTTGCTCACTTCACGTCTCTGTGGCGTGTTTTGGCAATTCTTACAGTATTTCACACCTTTTTCTTATTACATTTGTTATGGTGATCTGTGATCTTTGATGTTACTATTTTTTTTCATGTCATCATGTTTTTTGTTTTTTAAAAAAAACAACTATTTATCTTGGCTGTGTCGGACCTGTGTTGCTGTGTACAGGCTTTCTCTAGCTGCGGCGGCACAGGCTCCCCTCTAGCCGTGGTGCCCGGGCTTCTCACTGCGGTGACTCTTGTTGCGGAGCCCGGGCCCTGCAGCGTGGGCTCCGGAGATGCGGCTCACAGGCTCAGCTACCTTGCAGCATGTGGGATCCTTCCAGACCAGGGGTCAGCGGGGGGATCAACCTGGACCACCAGGACAGTGCCTTTGATGTTACTATTGAAAAACAACTTTCAAGTTAAAAATAAAGATTATAACTTGAAAGTTCAGATGACAGTATTTTTTAGCACTAATAAAGTACTTTAAAATTACAGTCTGTACACTGTTTTTTTAAGAAACAGTGCTATTGCACAATTGATACATTACAGTATAAACATAACCTTTATATGCTCTGGGAAATGAAAAAATACTGGTGTGACATGCTTTGTTGGAAGTGTTGTTCAGTCTCTCAGTAGTGTCTGACACTTTTGACCCCATGGACTGCAGCACACCAGGCTCTCCTGTCTTTCACCATCTCCTGGAACTTGCTCAAACCCATGTCCATTGAGTTGGTGATGCCATCCAACCGTCTCGTCCTCTGTCATCCCCTTCTGCTCCTGCCTTCAATCTTTCCCAGCATCAGGGTCTTTTCCAGTGAGTCAGCTCTTCGCATCAGGTGGTCAAAGTATTGGAGCGTCAGCTTCAGCATCAGTCCTTCCAGTGAATATTCAGGACTGGTTTCCTTTAGGATGGACTGGTTGGATCTTCTTGCAGGGGAGAAGTCTCCAGGGGACTCTCAACAGTCTTCCCCGACATCACAGTTCAAAAGCATCAGTTCTTCGGCACTCAGTCTTCTTTATGGTCCAACTGTCACATTCATACATGACTTCGGGGCAAATGATAGCTTAGACTATATGGACCTTTGTCAGTAAAGTAATGTCTCTGCTTTTTAATATGCTGTCTAGGTTTGCCATAGTTTATCTTCCAAGGAGCAAGTGTCCTTTAATTTGGGGTAACTGACTTTATTGTGGTGGTTGGAACCAAGCATGCAAAATCTCCAAGGTCTGCCTGTATTCAAGTGTTCTGTCAGTTTCATCTTCCTAGAGAAATCTTCACCAGAGCCTTCTGACCTGCTTCAGTCTAGTTTTTTTTTTTTGCCCTCTAGCCCATGTATGTCTGTCATACTGGATATTCTATTTGCCTATCTGCTGTGTTAGATATTCTGCTCAGAGGGTTTAGCCAAAGCCCTAGTGATCTTGATCACCAGTCCAGGTTGGATGCATGAGACAAGTGCTCGGGGCTGGTGCACTGGGAAGACCCAGAGGGATCGGATGGGGAGGGAGGCAGGAGTGGGGATCGGGATGGGGAACACATGTAAATCCATGGCTGATTCATATCAATGTATGGCAAAAACCACTACAATATTGTAAAGTAATTGGCCTCCAACTAATAAAAATAAATGAAAAACAAAAACAAAAAAACCCAAAGCCCTAGTGTTCTTGAGAGGCACGGGGGACCATGGTTATCCTGGGTTTCACCTGATCTCTCTAGTTTTGGTATGTACCATGCCCTTACCTCTACCTGGTGTTCTGAGACTATAGACACTCAATCCTGTCCTCTCTAGAAAGCTAACCTTTAGTTTCCTGGTAGGATAGGAAAGAGGCAGTCATCATGATTAACAGACAAGTTTAGCAACATTCCTTGAGCAGGAGTCAAAGGGAGATGTGCTTCACGTGGTTGCAAAGCCAGTTTAAGAGCCAATGACTTAGCCATTCTTAGTTGTGCAGTTAAGAGCCAATGACTTAGCCATACTAGATGCTGTGAAGTTGTGTCTCCTTGTGGTTTCAATCAGCATTTTCCTAATGACAGTGAGGTTGAGCATCTTTTCATGTGGTTATTAGCTATTTGTTTATCTTCTTTGGTGAAATGTTTGTTCAAACATCTTTCCAGATTTTTAAGTTGGCCTGTTTTTCAGTATGCCAGTAGTTTTTTTGTCTGAAATTTCTTTTGCTGGAAATCAGACTGTTCCTGCATACTGAAATTTTTCCCTATCTTATGTATAATTTAAGAGTATTTTCTTACTATTTCCCTTTGACTAGTCAGTTTTCAATCCTATTTTTGCTTTGCATTTCTACTTCCCTTAACATTTTTCTATCTATTTTGTTTGTTTATTCACAGAGACATGTAGAATGAAGTTCACTCTTTCTAGGTGGATAGTTCCATGAGTTTTGACATACTTAATACCATGTAACCACCACCACAATTGAGACAGAGTATTTCCATGCTCCAAAAAGTCTCCACACTCCTTTGTAGACAGTCTCTTTTCTCCACCCCAATCCCCTAGCAACTGTTGATCTGAATTTTATTCCTATGGTTTTGCCTTTTCTAGATGATCCTGTTAGTTCAGTTCAGTCTCTCAGTGGTGTCCGACTCTTTGCAACCCCGTGGACTGCAGCACGCCAGGCTTCCCTGTCCATCACCAACTCCCAAAGCTTACTCAGATTCATGTCCATCGAGTCGGTGATGCCATTCAACCATCTCATCCTCTGCTGTCCCCTTCTCCTCCTGCCTTCAATCTTTCCCAGCATCAGGGTCTTTTCCAATGAGTCAGCTCTTTGCATCAGGTGGCCAAAGTATTGGAGTTTCAGCGTTAGCATCAGTCCTTCCAGTGAATATTCAGGACTGATCTCCTTTAGAATGGACTGGTTGGATCTCCTTGCAGTCCAAGGGACTCTCCAGAGTCTTCTCCAACTCCAGTTCAAAAGCATCAATTCTTTGGCGCTCAGCTTTCTTTATAGTCAAACTCTCACATCCATACATGACCACTGGAAAAACCATAGCTTAAGAGTATATGGACCTTTTTCGTCAAAGTAATGTCTCTGCTTTTTAATGTGCTGTCTAGGTTGGCCATAGCTTTTCTTCCAAGAAGCAAGTGTCTTTTAATTTCATGGCTGCAGTCACCATCTGCAGTGATTTTGAAGCCCAGGAAAGTCCTATAAATGGACTCAAACAGTACGTAACCTTTTGAGTCAAACTTGCTTCACTTAGCATCACGCCTCTGAGATTTATCCATAGTCAGTTTCTTTTAATGCAGTGTAGAATTCCATCCTTTGTAGCTGCCATCCTTTAATATTCAGTGAAGAATTATTTCATGCCTGTCTCAGAATTGAATAGTTTGAATCACTTTAGGTCAACCAGATAAGAATGTTTAAATTTTTAGCAGAATGCCACCCCCACAACTTGTACTTATCAAATGGAAATCTCTATAAAATACTACATATATCATCTTACATTTTTCTGTTCTTGGTCAAGGCCATTTGTAAAACCTCTCTTTTTTTTTTTTCTTTTGGTAGGTATTGATTGGCAGGTTCGGCCACCTTTATCAGGACTTCCTCCTCTTGGTAAAATGTCTGTCAACAAAGAGACGCATTTTAACACTTCCATCGCTAACTTGGTCATCCTTCGTGGGAAAGATGTGCACAGTGCGGATGTGGGTGAGCAAAGTTAAGGTGAAAATTAAGATGCACATTTTGCAGATGTTCATGGTACACATGATTTTTTTTTTTTAAAGAAGTCCCTGAACTTATTCTTTTGGCCTCACCACGTGGCTTGTGGGATCTTTAGTTCCCTGGCCACGGATCGAACCCACACCCTTGGCAGTGAGAGCTCACAGCCCTAACCACTGAACCACCAGGGAATTCCCCCCAAATTTATTCTTTTTTTTTTTTTTCCCTGTATCTCTTGGAATTTTTTTAAAATTAATTTTTATTGGAGTATAGTTTCTTTACAATGTTGTGTTAGTTTTAGGTATGCAGAAAAGTGAATCGGCTTTCCATACATACCCTCTTTTTTTGGATTTCCTTCCCCTTTAGGTCACCACAGAGCATTGAAGAGAGTTCTCTGTGCTGTACGTATGTTCTCACCAGTTATATGTCAATGCCAGTCCCCCAAATTCATTCTTTTAAAGAAAGGAAAAATAAAAACTCTGTTTTAGTAGCAAAACGTAACCCCTGTACCAGTATGTGACCAGACAGCAAAATGGAAGTGGTGTAAATAAGAGACAAGTTTTAATTCTTTCTTCCTGAATCTGGTTGCTTTGTCATCCTCACCTCGTGGCTTCAGGCTTAGTCTGAGACATCTGTTAGAGCTTCAGCCATCAGATCACGTAGGAATAAGCAAAGAAGGGCAGGCCTGGTCCTGCAAGGGTCACACCCCGCACTTGTGTTTATATCCCTTCAACTGAGTTGGAGATGACTGAGTGCAGCTTAGTACGGCAAGGTGGGAGCTGTGATATAAAGAAAGCCAGGCTCATCCTGTGTGGTTGTTTAGTCCCCGAGTTGTGTCTGACTTTATGTCATCCCATAGACTGTAGCCCACCAGGCTTCTCTCTCCCTGGATTTCCCAGGCTAGAATGCTGGAGTGGGTCGCCATTCCCTTCTCCAGGGGATCTTCCCAACCCAGGGGTCAAACCGATGTCTCCTGTGTCTCCTCCACTGGGAGGCAGATTCCCTACCACTGAGCCACGAGGGAAGCCCCTATAATACCCTTAAATAAAAAACCGGTAATAATTAAGAAGAGATCATTTGAAGTCAATCAGATGGGGTACTTTCTTCATATTCTTCATTTGAGATTTTAAAATAAGAATTAATAAAAGGACATGTAAAGTAATTAACTTTTAAAGATTTGCCCACAGGAAATGATGTAGGTACATAGAGGTGTTCTTTCAAAGATATTCATTGCAGTATCTTTCACACTGACAGAAATGTGGGAACAACTAAATGCCCAGCAGTAGGAAATGTGTTAAGTAAATGATGATATGTTCATAGAAGCTTTTAAAAATATGAGTGATATTTATTGACATGGAAAAGAGGTTCACAACATATTGGTGGATGAAAAATGCAAATCATATAAGAGCATGCCTGTAAAATTCCAGTATAAGAGAGGGTCAGCAGACTGTTCATAGTCATTATTTCTGGGTGGTGACATTTTAGCTGTTGAGTTGACTTAAATTTTCTTCTTAATACTTTTCTGAACAGTGTGAATTTTTTAAATGATGATGAACATGGATCATTTATCCAAAAGCAATATAAAAAGCTAGTTTTAAAAGGCAATACAAAAGACTTCTGGTGAAATGGAAAAGAAAGTATCTGTTTATTAATTTGTTGCCAAAATTGATGATTTGTTTTACTCTAGGAGCATTTAAAGATCCAGCTCTCTATACTTCCTGGTTAGAGCCTGTTCATGCTTTCAATGTGTGGAAAACCCAGCGAGCCTTTAGGAAATATGAGAAGTCTGCAGCCTTGGTCAGCAATAGCCAGTCCTTAGTAAAACCACTTGATATGATTGTGGGTAAAGCGTGGAATATGTTTGCTTCAAGGTAAGTACAAAAGAAATCTACAAACCTTTCCTAACCGTAGGCAGATAACTGCTAGGCAGGTTCTGGAGTGTCTTAGCCTGTTTGGGCTGCTATTACAAAAATAGCATAAAGTGGGTGGCTTATAAACCACGGCAGTTTATTTCTGAAGGCTGGGAAGTCCAAGATTAAGGTCCCGGCAGATCTGATGTCCAGTGACCCGCTTCGTGGTTTATAGATGATGTCTTTTTGCCGTGGCCTCAGCCGGGGGCAGGGGCCAAGGAGCTCCATGGGCCTCTCACTGCATTCACGAGGGCTCCACTGTGGCGACCGAATCGCAGCCCCAAAGGCCTTACCCCCTAACATCAGTACCTTGAGAGTTAGGATTGCAGTGTGTAAATTTGGGGGGAACACATTCAGTCTGTGCCATGGAGTAAGCACTTTGTAGGTATGAAACTTTGAACATGTTCTTCTGGCTTCGTTTCCTTTCCTGTACGATGGAGCCAAAAGACAGGATATATGTGGTGAAGGTTAAAACGAGAGAAAAATGTAAAAAAAAACACCTAGTCCAGTGCCTGACTAGTAAATGCCCAAGAACTGTTCCATAGTGTTTTTCCAAAATAAGATCCTTGAGAATGGAAGAGATCCTGATCTTGCTCAGTAAGAAGGATATAGCAAGTTCAGCTCCACCTGATACTATGAAATGTCTGCTTGGTGTGAAGAATGTGTTAGTGGGTTCCCTGACCTCTGCCACAGTTACTTAATGTGAGCGCAGAACTCCTCAGATGACTGGATAAGCCTGTACTTTGATTGGCCAGGATTCCCAAGGGTCTCCCCTCCTGTACATGGCCATTCCCCAAACCCCAGCTCCTCAGGACTGTGCACTTTCTGTATAGTTCTGCTCTAGTTCCCGTCCCACTGCCAGTAAATGGTAGCAGCTGTTTTCACTAATGAATTCATGTCTGCCCTTGATATTCTTTTTAATATGATTTCTCCTTCTGCAGAACATTTTGAGGGGCTGGGGCTATTAACAGGATCACCTGGCATAAGTGCAAATTAAGTGTTGTCTGAAAAAACAGTCAGGAGGCTTCATTTCATTCCTAGAACTGGATCCGTGTGTCTCTACAGTTTCACACCTTAGATAAGTCTTCCCAGGCACTTCTTAAGAGTTTATACTGAGCCCAGTCATCTCCTCTAGGGTGTTGAATGTGTGCTGGGTGGACACCCAAATCTGAACATGCTTTTTTTCCCCTATGTGCTGTCTTTTTTTTTTTTTTTTTTTGGCTACACCTGGCAGCTTGCAGGTTTCTTAATAATAGTTCCCCAGCCAGGGATTAAACACAGGCCCTGGCTCTGAGTCCATGCGTGCATCCGTGCCCAGTGCTGTCCAATTCTTCATGACCTCGGGGACTGTAGCCCACCAGGCTCCTCTGTCCATGGGATTTTCCTGACAAGAATACTGGAGCAGATTGTTATTTCCTCTTCCGGGGGATCTTCCCAACCCAGGGATCTAACTCATGTCTCTTGCATCTCCTGCATTGACAGGCAGACTTTTTACCATTGAATCACCTGGGAAGCTCCCCTAACCACTGGACCGCCAGGGAATTCCCCTCGTATGTGCCTTTTATTGTCACTCTCTTGAATAGACGGAGCTTGACATAAACTTTGAAAGTTTGCTAACTTTTGGAGTAAACATTGAAGTAAAGATATGTCTTTTAAGAGAGTTTGCCATGTTCAGATGTTCATGAGCTACGAAAGGTTTATTATTTGATTTTGAATTATTCAGTTGCCTGAGATTTTTATTTCGTATATTCTGTTTCTTTCACCAGAGCCTACCTTCATCAGTACACAAAATTTGGAATTGAAGAAGAGGATTTTTTGGACAGTTTCACGTTGTTAGAACAGGTTATTGCTAGTTACTGCAACCTCTGATTTTGAACCAAGGGGAAAAATTACCTTAAGTCAATTTTGGACTAAAGTACTTGCAATACTACTTTCTCTATAAGGTTTTAAAATTCCAGTTTGCTAATGCTACAGAGTCAAATGCTGATTCCTTCTTCATACTACAGCCACAGAAAAGGAGGAAAACCTTTCATGTTTTCAATTAAAACATCTACTTGATATTTTCCTTTGTAATAAAAAAAATTGGTGCTTCTTTAAAGAATTTTGGGAACACTTTGCTGAGATGTTACAACTTTGAAACTGTCAGAAAAGGAAACTTCCCTCTTTATTCCAAAAAGCATTCGGTAAATATGAGCTAAACTTTCATAGCACAATTTTAAGTTAAGAAATTGCAATTCTTATTTATATTTATCTTTGAAATGAATGTTTTGGACCACAAGAGGGAGCTGTTGTCAAAGGCTATGATGTGAACGTCTCTTGAATATTTTATTCGATAATAGGGTAAGATTTTCCACTTTAACCAGCTATTTAAAAATAAATGTCAGGATTTTGTTAATAAATGTATATCATGCTTAAGTACAAAAAGTAAATAAGCCACTGTTGACTTTGTTTGCTTTTCTGAAATTGGGCATCAGAAAATTTTTTCTTTTACATCCTAGAATACCAGAGCAGAAATAGATTTTGCTTAGTGTTTTAAAAGTACTGACAGGTATTTAGCTGGTGTGGAAGAAGGTAATTATAAGGTAATATACATCAAGGTATATTCTTTTCAGTAAAAGGGGTGAGAGTTTTCACCAAAATGTCACTAAGTTAATAAAATTTATCACCAAGGAAATACTAATATATTAATATTGCTAATCACTCAGTCGTGTCTGACTCTTTGCAACCCCACAGACTGTGGCCCTCCAGGCTCCTCTGTCCATGTGATTCTCCAGGCAAGAATACTGGAGTGGGTTGCCATTCCCTTCTCCACGGGAATCTTCCTAACCCAGGGATCAAACCCGAGTTTCCTGATTGCAGGCAGATTCTTAACCATCTGAGCTACAAGGAAATACTGTGCTAGATGAACTTGACCCATATAGATGTTGGTCTCATTTAGGACAAAACACATTTGGAAATTGGCAGCTGAGTTTGAGGGGAATGGCTTATTTCAGTAAAACACATCACATGCAATGTGTTAACAAATGTAAAATGGGAAACAAATAGGAACACTTGCCCTTTCTGCCAAGTCTACCAGTGGTGACTTATTTTTATATGGAAAAATGACAGTTCACAGATTCACTGGTTTCTTCCTTCTGTTTCCATATGGAAATGATTACCTTTTTGCTGTTTTTCTTATCAACTGTTGCTATGATTTAAAATACTGAACCATATCTTATTTCGAAGGAATGTAAAAAGTGGTCTCTTCATCTGCTAAAAGGCACACCCACTGCTGTGTTTTGTTAACCAAGAGTACTTAAAAATAATTAGATCATAATTTTTACAAGATAAAGTTAAAAGTAATAATTTAGCATTGCAGAGATCCCAAACACTGAAACAGTTTCCCAAACCAAACCAGCCTTAATGAAGCTCTGTAACTGAATTACCTCAGTAGGGGGTAAGCTGGTTCTGAGGAACTTTGCCAAGTTAAGCTTAAAGAAAGTCATAAGTTGAAATCATTTTATATTTGAGAAAAGAAAGCATAAAGTACCAGTGGGAACAAATATATTTCTAATTTGCCAACTCATGGACTCAATGGCAGGTGACCATTGGAGGTTAACTCCAATTAGAGCCCTGGGTTCACTCATTTATGTGAGTTGAACTTTTTTTATGCACATTATTTTTTAATGCACAAATGCATTATTTGGTAGGTGTGGATACCTAAATATGTGTGAAATTGTTCTAAACGTTTACATGAACAATTTTTTTTCTTATCTAGCTTGAATAATGTAAAGTTTTTGCTATTAGAGTTCTGATAACTTAAAAATGAACCAAAGAGTTGATGCCAGAGCTTCAAAATAAGGGCTGGTATTAGAAAGGTCTGGAGGAGGGCATGGCAGCCCACTCCAGGATTCCTGCCTGGCGAGTCCCATGGACAGAGGAGCCTGGTGGGCTGCAGTCCATGGAGTCGCAAAAGAGTCAGACACCACTTAGCAACTAAACAACAACAAAATGACCAACCAGCTAAGACAATGATGGAATCATAACTTCCTGGGCAGAGACATCCACAAGCTCCAAATATGTAATTTCTTTTTTAAAGAAATATTTATTTATTCATTTGGCTGAACTGGATCTTAGCTCTGCTGCTCGGGATCTTCAGTCTTTGTTGTGGCTTGCAGAATTTTAGTCGCGGCGTGCGGGATCTAGTTCCCTGACCAGGAATAGAACCTGGGCCCCCTGCACTGGGGAGTGATGAGTTTTAGCCACTGGACCACGAGGGAAGTCCCTGAACGTGTAATTTCTTAGATTACTGAGTGACTGATATACTATGTGTCACTCAGACATTATCCCACAGAGCCAAGAGGTAGCCCTGTAGGCAGTGAGTACAGTATAAAGTCAGGCCTACTTCTTATTTTAATCAAGCCTTTTCACTCTTCTCCATTTGTGCTTTTCTTAAGAACTAACTCTTTGACACAGATGTACAGAACAGACGTTTAGACTCTGTGGGAGAAGGCGAGGGTGGGATGTTCAGAGAGAACAGCATTGAAACAAGTATACTAGCAAGGGTGAAACAGATCACCAGCCCAGGTTGGGTGCCTGAGACAAGTGCTTGGGGCTGATGCCCTGGGAAGACCCAGAGGGATGGGATGGGGAGGGAGGTGGGAGGGGGGATCGGGATGGGGAACACATGTAAATCCATGGCTGATTCATGTCAGCATATGGCAAAAACCACTACAATATTGTAAAGTAATTAGCCTCCAACTAATAAAAGTAAATGGGGGGAAGAAAAAAAAGAACTAACTCTTTAAGCAGTAGAACCTGTTTCTTCCCATTCATTCTCTCTTGCTTCGATCTTTGAGGGCTCCCCCACAACACCTCACCAATGTTATTCAGTCAACCAGCAACACCTCTCTCTCTTCTTTAACCTGTCCCTCAGAACTCAGGAAGTGTGCCCACCGTTCACGGCCTTCAGTCCATTCATTCAGCCAGCCAGGATCCATTCAGCGCCAGGCACTGAACAAGGATATGTGGACCAATACCACAAAGTCTAAATGAAGGAGCTTACAATGTAGCTAAGTCTCTTTCCATATCTGGAGCTACAAGTTTAGCTTCGTAATTATTGCTTACCATTTTGCCCAGGGCTTCCCAGGTGGCTCAGTGGTAAAGAATCCACCAGCGCAGGACATGCAGGAGACATGGGTTTGATCCCTGGGCCGGGAAGAGCCCCTGGAGGAGGAACTGGCAACCCACTCCAGTATTCTTGCCTGGGAAATCCCATGGACAGAGGAGCCTGGCGGGCTACAGTGCACGGGGTCACAGAGTCAGACACAACTGAGCGACCGAGAACACAGCACACAAACATCTTCCCATGTCCACATTCAGTTTTTTTTTCTTTAAACAGGGAAGCTGTGGTACAAGGTAAAGAACAATGAACTGGGACCTCTGGTCTAGGCTTTTGGTTTGTCTGGAACATCTCCTCACTGGTGCTGTAGACTCTGCTCTGCAGTGTACATACCAGTGATTCTTCTCCTGACCACCATGTTTATCACACTTGCATTCCTGTCCAAATTTTGTCTTAAAACATGCTCCATATGTTCCCATCCTGCTGTTCTCTCCCCATGAGCCCAGGGTTTGGCAGCCAACCCTTTCTTGTACTTCCACCTACCTTCCAAATATGGTTTTGTCCACCAACTTGTCATTTTTGGCAAATAACAACAGTTATTTAAGAGATATTTGCTCATCTATATCAATCACATTGTTTCCTATGGGTTTTAGGAATGTGAGCATAAAAAATCTGGCTTTATATTTTTAACTAGATATCTTCTTATTCCTACACTCTGAAATGTCTCAGATGAAGCAATGTCAGCCTTATTAGTAAATGAAATCCCATGTCCCACTAGCAGGAATGTTAAGAAAAACAATGTAAATATTTTAAGTTTCCAGAGAACACAGTGTCAGGTCAGTGTTGGAGAAGATATGGCTTCAAGGGAGAGGAGGGAAAAGATAGAAGAGCCTAATCATTTAGGCTCTAGGGAGCAAGTGATGCAAAAAAGAGATGAAAAGGGAGGTCAGAGAACTGATGATGATGATCCCAAAGAACTGCTAATAGTTTACAAGCATTAAAAAAAAAAAAACTCGATGGTTTTCGAATTACGGATTTTACCTAATGGTAAAGAAAAAAAATCCAAGAATAACTTACACAAATAGCACAGGGAATTCCCTGATGGTCCAGTGGTTAGGACCCTGCACTTTGCAGGCAAAGGGCCTGGGTTCAACCCCTGGTCAGGGGATTAAGGGCCTGGAAGCCGCAGCAATGCAGCCAAAAGAAAAAAAGAACAGTATAAAAAGAACAAGCTAAACTACGTGTCACTTAGCAAATAATCCTGTCTTACTTGAGTTTATTTCCTTTGCCAATGATGGAGCCAAAACAATGGACACTTTCATGGTTTCTCTTGTCCTATTTGGGTTTAATTATTTACATGCTAAGTACACAAAAACTCAGGTTTTCGCGCAATCTTTTTTCCGAACATTTGCTGTCCAATAAGATAGCCATTAGACACATGTGGTTTAGTAAGTATAAAATACATGCTGGATTTCAAAGATAATAAAATCATGTAAAGGATTAATGTTTTAAACTGTGTAAATGATATTTTGGACACAGTAGGTTAAATAATTTATCCAAATTGGTATAATACCTGTTTCTTTTTATATTTTATCCTTTTCATATTTTAAAGTGCAGGTACTAAAATTTTAAAAATTAGATATATGGCTTGCATAATATTTCTGTTGGACAGGGCTATTCTAGACATTTCAGGAGCAAAACCCTGGGAATTGTAGAAACTGGAGTTGAACAAAGCTTGTCCTTACTAGGTGAGAGTTCATGGGAACAA